TTGGTTAAGGATGATATGCGCGTTGCATCTTAAGTAAGAATCTGCTTTCTGTGTCCTGCTTGGACCATTACGTTTTAAATAAACTACGGTTATAATAACAGCGAACCTGAAGGGTCCGTTGATTTCAGTTCGTTGTATGTTACTGATTATATGCAATTTGATTCAAGCCTTACACCTTACACGCCGAACCAGGAGACTTTGGTTTGTTACATCTGTCAGTAACTGTTCTTTATGAGCGTGTTCCCTATAAAAAATGCGTCTAAATTTTCTGACAGATTCCAGATTCTGACAAAACTGATTCCACTTCGAGAGAGTAATAGGCAAAAACATATGATTCGATCGCGCCAAAGAAGTCACGAGTACGACGAGTACGGATTCCGAAATAGGCAACATGCAATACCCCGCCGCAATCACTTGAGTCTATTCATGCCAAAGGGACGCAAACCGGTGCTGCCAAGGCTGGTGGCGCCCGTGGACATGTTGTGGCAACCGGGATCCGTATGGCCAAGAATCATAAACAATAGCGTGGAATCTGTGGTACTGCTTTCTGTATTTAAGTTCTTTCAGTTCATATGGAACATTCCATCATCACTAAAATACCGATCTATTTCTTGTGGTCAGTCTCAGCGAACCTCCCGGCCCCCGTTGGCCACAAATGTAGATCTGGTATAATGTAACCCTCCTCAGTTCCCACAAGAACCCGTACACAGCTGTCATCGATTTGGTCTCTACATCCTCCGGGTCGCTTAAGTAAACGATGACGACGACAATGATACAACAAGCCACGAAATGAACTCTACATATCTTGAAGCTCCTTAACACTTCTGTGGCTATTTTACCACCGTGAAATCTCTTCCATTCCTTCCATTCCATTCCATTCCATTCCATTCCATTCCATTCCATTCCTTCCATTCCATTCCATTCCATTCCATTCCATTCCATTCATTCCATTCCTTCCTTCCCTTCCATTCCATTCCATTCCTTCCATTCCATTCCATTCCTTCCTTCCTTCCTTCCTTCATTCCTTCCATTCCTTCCATTCCATTCCTTCATTCCATTCCATTCCATTCCATTCCATTCCATTCCATCCATTCCATTCCATTTCCTTCCATTCCTTCCATTCCATTCCTTCCATTCCTTCCATTCCTTCCATTCCTTCCATTCCTTCCATTCCTTCCTTCCTTCCTTCCTTCCTTCCTTCCTTTCTTCCATTCCATTCCCATTCCTTCCTTCCTTCCTTCCTTCCATTTCCATTCCATTCCTTCCATTCCATTCCTTCCATTTCCTTCCATTCCTTCCTTCCTTTCTTTCATTCCTTCCATTCCATTCCTTTCCTTTTCATTTCCTTCCTTCCTTCCATTCATTCCTTCTTCTTCCTTCCATTTCTTGGATCGTTCAGTTTCAATCCAGCAATCATCAGGATCATTTCGATACCAGGGTTGTTGCCATTATACTTCACGAGTTGATCATAGTGGCATTGTCAAACTCTGGCATTAACGAAATCATAAACTGAATAAACTGAAATCACTGCATGACGAGTTCTTTCTTGAAACCCTTTGATTCAGAATTCGTCCCCAAACCCAAGCAAACCTGCGGGTGCGAAATGGGAAGGTATCCGAAAGATTTCAGGAATACTGAAGCCTGATTTTCAATGCATTGAATGCCTCTCAAAGCAGTGCAAAATCCAACTCACTCACTTTGTAACATGTCCAACTTTCAGTGTTCAACACTCTGCAGTCACTATCCCAACAAATGCAAGTCATCTAACTTCTGTGATGTCATCAAAGAGCGGGCGAGCAACACCGAATATATCCCCGAATGGCCACAAAACACGCCCATCACCTCGCTCATGGTAAAGTTGTTTTCATTATGTTCGAAAAAAGACATGTTCCGATTAAAACCAATAATTTAGAACCAATTCCTAATAAAATATTGCATTGCATGGATACATGAAGTAATTCCTTTGTAAATCATTCTAAAACATAACATTATTTTTCTGACAAGTTTATATTTCCTAAGTGTGAGCAATTACTGCTTGGTAAGGAAAATGTATGAAATATGAATGAATTTATGGGGGTTTTATCGCTAAAAGACAATTGCGCTGCAAAATGTTGGTAATGAATGACGTCTATATGCAAGCGGAAGTCACTGAGCAATCCAATTGACTTTGCGTAATTTTGTTAAAAGGAAAAGGAGACTTTTGGGATTAGAAATTAATGTCATTAGTCGTATTCAGCCTGCTGTGGGTCACATCCTGGATCTTCTGGCCTGTCTTGAGATTGGTGAGAAGAACGTGAACCAGGCTCCCATGAGTTATCGTCATCAAGTATCAGCCGCCTTTAACCAGACACGAACCGAGGTGTCGGGCCTGAACATCGCCATGGACGAACTGGTAAGACTGTCCAGAATGTTGCAACATTATTTCGGTTACAGGATGATATGCACGTTGCATCTTAGTGGGAACGGTTTCTGTATCCTGCTGTGACCATTACATTTAAATAAATATACTACGGTTATAACGAACTCGAAGGGTCCGTTAATTTCAGTTCGTTATAACCATTGCTGATTATATGCCATTTGACTAAACTATACACCTTATGCCAGACCAGGAAACATGGTTGTTTACATATGTCAGTAACTGTTCTTTATGAGCGTGTTCGCTATAAACCGTGTCTAAATTTTCTGACACATTCCAGATTCTGACAAAACTGATTCCATTGAGAGTAATAGTCAAAACATATGATTCGATCACTTAAAGAAGTCACGAGTACGAGTACAGTTCTGAAATAGCAACATGGAACTCGCCCGCGATCACTTGAGTCTATCTTGCCAAAGGGATGCAAATCGGTGCTGTCAGTTGCGGCGCCTGTGGACAAGTTGGCAACCGGGATCCCATGGCCAAGAATCATACAATAGTGGAATTGGTGTGCTTCTTTCTGTATTTAAGTTCTTTCAGTTCATATGGAACATTCCATCATCACTAAAGCACCGATCTGTTTCTAGGTCTTCTGCTTGAACCTCCCGGCCCCTGTTGGCCAATGTAGATCTAATGTAACCCTCTCAGACCCACAAGACCCGTACACAGCTGTCATCGACGGTCTCTACATCCTCGTCTGGGTCAGCAACGACATGACGACAATGATACAACAAGCCACGAAATGAACTCAGCATATCTCGACTCCTTAACATTTCTATGGCTATTTTCCTGAAGTAATCTCTCTCTGTATGGATATCTTAGTCTTTCGTCCATGCATTCTAGTGTGCATTTGTGTGTACGATGTTTTGTACAATTTTATATGTTTTGTATGTGATTAACAATGTTAAATGTTTTGCACACATTTCGTCCATGCATTCTAGTGTGCATTTGTATGTACGATGTTTTGTACAATTTTATATGTTTTGTATGTGATTAACAATGAAGCACACAGCTAAATGAGTTACAACTTCTTGTTTATTGCACGGAGCGACATTTCGTCCATGCATTCTAGTATAGATTCTTTTAGCTTGAAAACAGTGAAAGGCTCTACACCTAAACGCCGCTCTATGTAATCAACAAAAATTTGTTCTCTTTTAAGTCATGTGCTTCATTATTGACCAAATATTGTAGACATATTATGTCCTTAAAACCTACAAACCCATTATCCATGAAGAGAATAGATATCTGCTGCAAACATAGTCCTTGAATTCTGAAACATGTTAGGTTATACTTAGGTTATTGGTGGCACCTCAACGATACTTAAACTTCATGTTTACAAAACAAATGGTGAAGTTCATTTCTATTTGTATAGGACTATGACAATAATTACTGATTTACTTAAAATATTCATGACTACAACACAAATAGGTGAAGTTCATTTCATTGTTGTATATCGACTATGACCAGCTGTTTTAAACCAAACTAAATTATCTTTGCTGAAGCACTATAACTCTATGTGATATCTAGACCATTTTACAAAAGCCCTTTCCATAATGATAAGGGCGCTATACAAGTACACATATCCATTGTTCGATGTCCAAAACATATGTCACTATGTCTAAGCACTATCTAAATCACTATATATACTTATAAATCTGTCTAAATGTTTGATCTGTGGCTTATAAATATAATAATAGTGGCTGTAAATTGAATATTTTTACATTCAGCGAGAAATCACTTCATTTCTACTCTTGCTTTTAATCTGAACGTTGTTGTTTGTGACACGGTGTAAGTTGGTAACTGAATCTGCATTAGCTCAATTTTGTTAACCATTTTATACGCCATATATCGCATGCTTATACTTTCTGTTTGTATTTTTATATGAAGGCGATAGACGTCAAGCTATCGTTGAGTTGACAAAACATGATGTTATTTTTACAGCTTTACGATTGTCATTTACTATGCATTTACATTTACTCTCTAACAATGTGTATTCGTTTGTCTACCTACAACCCTACATATGCTTTGAGAACGATTGTGAATTATTTGGATTGTACATTATATTGCAGCATCAGCGTTTTCTATCTATCTTGTTGTTTACATTTGAAATGTTGTATATTTGAAGGTGTATAAGCATGTCATGAACATTAAACTATACACTGCCAGTTATGTTTCGTACGTTTGCTTATCATGTGTTGGTCGTATGCCCTTATATCTGAGCCTCTACAAATGAATATGTATCAGATGCCCCACGCATCAAGGATTACAAAGGATGTGTGTTCTAAAGGTGTGTAATGAGTCTGTGACTGGATTCCCACAGTTGTGGTTGTGCTGTGGTTGTGCTTTGGTTGTGCTGCTAGGATAGTCAGCATCACATTCGTGGGTTCACTGAGGTAAACTCCAGAGATTGGCATCACTGGCTTCCTTCCATGTCAAGATGCCACTCCGTGACATACGTGAGGTACTCTTTAATGCCTCGTTTGACCAAACTTTGACCTCCAGCCCATCCACCCAGAAATACTTCCACTATTTGTATCCGTGTGTTGTTGACGGTTTACTTATTGCAATAAACAAAATACAGTAATTTTGTATTTCTTGCTTTATTCAAAGCCAAAGCACATTGCATATTACATCTGTCATTGATTCAATGATTACCTCCCCTACCCGCAAGCTAACAGAAGATAGATATTCATTACAGAACAGCATAGTACAACAAAACGACCTCAAGCAAGCTAAAGAAGATAGATATTCATTACAGAACAGCATAGTACAACAAAGCGAATAAGTGAATCAGTAAGATTTTACGCCGGTCCCCAGTTCAAGCATCATCAAGATTGAGGAACACCAGAACACTCGGTAACACTGGGGGACCGTATGTTGTCGCAAGTTAGAGTGAGTCAGTTGGTTTTAGGTCCCCTTTGAACAGTATTTCACCTCTGCCGCGGTATGTCAAACTCAGTATCAGGAAATTATTGATTTAGGTCTCAGACGACAGCTGCCATGTTGCTGGAATGTTGGTGAGTGCTGTCTAAAAAACAAACAGACACTGTGGTCAAATCCAGAGATTGTGACATTCCAACTCGAGATGAGTGGATATCGCCACGCCTAAGGGCCGCAACTCCAGATCTGGCTTGGGCGACTGAGCCATCTGCGTATCTATGTTACTTGATGTACACGTGCCAGCTACTGATAGCGATGACAGCTACCTCTTCAAATCCAGCTGGGAGAAGGCAACTGATTGCTAACTGATCACGCCTTCACAGTGTAGTAGCGATTATTCGAATCTTGATCGCCATGGTCTACATACAACAAACAGAATAGAATGTTATAACAGACATTTTTTATTAGTTAGAATATTGTTTTGTCCCTAAAATTGTGCACGTTGTACTACCTTGGATTAAGGCAATACTTTAAGATGACACAAGCGAAAAATTTATTTCAAGGTCAAAATAAATCCGTTAAGATGGCCCTGTTCTAAGTTTGAACAAAACGTTCCCCTCAAGTGTTGAGACATTCCGCCAGTCCCCCCCAAGCCCAACCCCTTTACAGTAATGTGGATCTTCAAATAGATTTTTCGAAATACATGTACAATCATATCAATTTCAATCCAACTGTACACAGTATCAACGGAACTTGTTGTGCAATACCTACACAAAGTTTGAGAACAGACACTTTCTTTACATGACCACGTTTAACCTGTGATGACCAATAGTTGGAAGAGAAGCGGACATAAAGGACCGAAACTATGAAGGTTTACTTGGTTCCGGATCAGAAGGTTCCTACAATGTATGTAGGAAGTTTATTGTTATTCAAATCCAGAGGTTCAGTTTGTTTGAATATCATTAGAATTCGAAAACACAGCCCAGCTGATACTTGTGATAGGAATTCCCAATAACCTCAGCGTATTGACTTTATAGGTCAGGTATTAATATCTACTAGTCAGTGCACATTTTGGATATTGACCCTTATTTATTTGTGCCATGATATTTAATTTCCCTCAAAACAAACGAGGAATTTGGTATTTATGATGCAAATATCACTGTTATTTCTAAACACGCAACCAAGCAATATTCAATATAGAGTTATTGTTAGATTCCACTTAATTTGTAACAGTATGTCATTATCGAAATTTTCAGGACCTCGTCAAATAGATTAATGAATGATTGCACTCACTTTTCCTTTTCGAAGCTACAAAATGAATGATTATATTGGTGAATGGATGGATGGATGGATGGAAGGATCGGTGAGTGAATGAGGGAAACGATTTACAGATTTACATCAATGAGTTTTATGCATATTTGAGGTCCATGTTCTAATTGTGTAAAGAAAACTTCACATTTACATTAAACGTATCGATAATACTAGTATTTCATTGAACCAAGCAAATCTGTTTAAATTTTACATTTTACCCGGGGGTATTCTTATATATGATGTTATATTACGCCGCGCTGAACATGATGCATTAAATCATTTTTTCCAAGCCTCATATATCCAAGGACGTGTTCAAGCAATATTGTGTTTGTAGAGTCGGGAAGATCGATGTTATCACTCATCTCAATCGGTGTATCGTCATATAAAAGTGATACTACTTATTGTCACATGTATTTATCCGTGTAACAACCATTTCCTCGGTCTTCAACACATCACACCCACAACTAGCTAAGTGATCTACTTCAAGTGACTGCATTGATACCTTGACACTGCTGTATGGCAGTTCTTCATTTCGACATGTACAGGAATCAGTGGGTAGCCTAGTGGTTAAATCGTTCGCTGGTCAGGCCGAAGACTTGGGTTTGATTCCCCACATGGGTACAATGTATGAATTCCATTTCTGGTGTCCCCCGCCGTGATAATGCTGGAATGTTGCCAAAAGCGACGTAAAATTAAACTCACTCACTCGACATGTACCCGGCTCATTACGTTATGTATCTTTCATCTGATAATAATCACACATTGCATTGATTTGTGTATCGGAGACAATGCAAAATCAATTTACTATGAAGTCTGTTCTTGTCGAATTAAAGCTACATCAATGAGCGTTCCGTTATTTTCACTTAGTGTTTCCGGGCATAACCTTCCCAGATACAACACTTAAGAAAATCTCGATTCAAGCTCCCGAACCAATCTTCATCACTTTCTCGGGATGACGTGGACTGATGCTCTAACCTGGGCCTGCCCGAGAAGCTGAGACTCCAGATATCTCATTGGTTGATGGTATCGCTAGAGATATCCACTGATTGTCACAGCGAGATAATGTAGCATCTTGTGGATAGTACACTGTAAATGTCCAGTTTCAGACAGAAAAGAATTCCCAATAATTCCTATATAAGGAATATGTTTGACAAAGTTTGTATCATTCAAGACACTTTGAGAAACGAAATATATTTCTGTCTTGCTACCCATACTCAACATGAAATGTAAGTCAATCGCTCGTTTAAATGAAAATATGTACTTAAAACAGAGTATAATGATTACAGAATAGACGTATGTCTTGTATTCTGTTTCAATGCATTTCAGAAATTAATCAAATAGACCTAACATTGCATTATATTTCACATGTATTTCGTCAATTAGAATTCAATAGATATTTGACAAAGCAAGTAATGAACAATGCCATGTACATATCATGTATACTTCACAAACTTCAAACACATGGATTTTTGACTTATGATTAATTGATATTCATAAATGGAAACCTATTTATCAAAAACTATTATATTCCAGTCTTTTGGACAACTGCTCTGGCTTCCTATTTCCTGGGATCTTTGTTCTGGCACCAATTTACAGCATATGGGAGCCCAGCAGCCTCATGTGACGTCAGACACACTGACAACCCCGTGGTCAACGATGCAGTGACAAAGGAGCCCTTGCTACCTGCTACCCACCAGGGAAATAACGGACCAAGCAATACATCAAGTACAGTCGATGTTGATGACGTCAATGATGCCGCGGGTAGCTGCGAAGAATATTCTACCCGTGTGCTGACATCCCTGACGCTGGTTCGGAATGCAGTTAACATTGCATTTTCTAAAGCCGTAAGTACACAAAACCAGAGCGACAAAATAAAGAGTTTATGCTTTATTAAAGTAATGATTGAAAACGTTGTGGCTAAAGTAATTTCTGTCTATTAAGCCAACTCATGCATCACTCTTTTTACAATGTGTAAACAGCAGTCTTTGGCTCTGTATTTTCGTGCAAAAATTATTGCTTTATTGAAGACTGGGGAAAGAAATGAATTTGCAACCAGATTACTCCTACCATGTTTGAATGGATGTTTTGCTGGGAAAAGCAAATATATATTTTCAAAGATGTCCTATTTTCCTAGCATCGCTTGTATGATTGTATTTTTTATTTTACCAGTAAAATTTGAATATATTTCCAATATTGAAACATGTGGAGGTATTCTTTGAGCGCCGACCAAACGCCCTTCATTTCATTGTAAGGATATGATATCGCTGTACCCAAAAATCTAAATTCAAAATCAAACATATGATAAAATAATCTGAGAGGTTTCTTTTTTTTCTTCTTTTGTCTATATCAAAGTTCATCGTGATGTTGCTGGAATATTGCTAAGACCAGAGTAAACTCATACTTGTATCGTAGGAACATGGGTTGTCATAATGGCTTCAGGGATTACATTCGTAAAAGGAATTTACCAATGACTATGTTAATGGTCACTTGAATTGAGAATTGCTGCCCTTCGTCTGCATGGCGTTTCCTCATTCGGGAGGAGAAGGAGTATGGAGTGAGTGCGTGAGTGAGTTTTACGCCGCACTCAGCAATATTCCAGCTATATGGTGGCGGTCTGTAATAAATCAAGTCTGGACCAGTGATCAACAGCATGAGCATCGATCTACGCAATTAGGATACGATGAGTCAACCAAGTCCCGTTAGTCAAATCTTACGACAAGCATTGGTTACTGAAGATCAGTTCTAACACGGATCTTCACGGATGAGGGAGAATGCAAAGACGCGCAAAACGCTCCAAATGTCAAGTATATACATGCTTGTATGTGCAATGTTAACGCGGGAAATCAATTTGCTGGATATATGCATGCAATTATACCCCCACACTACCCTGTACATACCCAGTTTTACATTTTTATGATAAAAGACGCAGTTGTTACACATAAACTGTTATTCAGTGCTGTACCAATTTCCGTGGATCGTTCAGTTTCAATCCAGCAATCATCAGGATCCTTTTGATACCAGGGTTGTTGCTATTATACTTCGCGAGTTGATCAAAGTGGCATTGTCAAACTCTGGCATTAACGAAATCATAAACTGAATAAACTGAAATCACTGCATGACGAGTTCTTTCTTGAAACCCCTTTGATTCCAGAATTCGTCCCCGAACCCAAGCAAACCTGCGGGTGCTAAATGGGAAGGTATCCGAAAGATTTCAGGAATACTGAAGCCTGATTTTCAATGCATTGAATGCCTCTCAAAGCAGTGCAAAATCCAACTCACTCACTTTGTAACATGTCCAACTTTCAGTGTTCAACACTCTGCAGTCACTATCCCAACAAATGCAAGTCATCTAATTTCTGTGATGTCATCAAAGAGCGGGCGAGCAACACCGATTATATCCCCGAATGGCCACAAAACACGCCCATCAACTCGCTCATGGTAAAGTTGTTTTCATTATGTTCGAAAAAAGACATGTTCCGATTAAAACCAATAATTTAGAACCAATTCCTAATAAAATATTGTATTGCATGGATACATGAAGTAATTCCTTTGTAAATCATTCTAAAACATAACATTATTTTTCTGACAAGTTTATATTTCCTAAGTGTGAGCAATTACTACTTGGTAGGGAAAATGTATAAAATATGAATGAATTTATGGGAGTTTTATCGCCAAAAGACAATTGCGCGGCCAAATGTTGGTAACGAATGACACCTATATACAAGCGGAAGTCATTGAGCAATCCAATTGGCTTTGCGGAAGTTTGTTAAAAGGAAATGGAGACTTTTAGGATTAGAAATTAATGTCATTAGTCCTATTCAGCCTGCTGTGGGTCACATCCTGGATCTTCTGGCCTGTCTTGAGATTGGTGAGAAGAACGTGAACCAGGCTCCCATGAGTTATCGTCATCAAGTATCAGCCGCTTTCAACCGGACACGAACCGAGGTGTCGGGCCTGAACATCGCCATGGACGAACTGGTAAGACTGTCCAGAATGTTGCAACATTATTTCGGTTCCAGGATGATATGCGCGTTGCATCTTAGTGGGAACGGTTTCTGTGTCCTGCTTTGACCATTACATTTAAATAAACTACGGTTATAACGAACTCGAGGTGTCCGTTAATGTCAGTTCGTTATAACCATTGCTGATTATATGCAATTTGACTAAACTATATACCTTATGCCAGACCAGGAAACATGGTTTGTTACATCTGTCAGTAACTGTTCTTTATGAGCGTGTTCGATATAAACCGTGTCTAAATTTTCTGACACATTCCAGATTCTGACAAAACTCATTCCATTGAGAGTAATAGGCAAAACATATGATTCGATCACTTAAAGAAGTCACGAGTACGAGTACAGTTCTGAAATAGCAACATGGAACTCGCCCGCGATCACTTGAGTCTATCTTGCCAAAGGGACGCAACTCGGTGCTGTCAGTTGCGGCGCCTGTGGACAAGTTGGCAACCGGGATCCCATGGCCATGAATCCTACAATAGTTGGATTGGTGTGCCTCTTTCTGTATTTAAGTTCCATAAGTTCATATGGAGCATTCCATCATCACTAAAGCACCGATCTATTTCTAGGTCTTCTGCTTGAACCTTCCGGCCCCTGTTGGCCAATGTAGATCTAATGTAACCCTCTCAGACCCACAAGACCCGTACACAGCTGTCATCGACGGTCTGTACATCCTCGTCTGGGTCAGCAACGACATGACGACAATGATACAACAAGCCACGAAATGAACTCAGCATATCTCGACTCCTTAACATTTCTATGGCTATTTTCCTGAAGTAATCTCTCTCTGTATGGATATGTTAGTCTTTCGTCCATGCATTCTAGTGTGCATTTGTGTGTACGATGGTACAATGTTGTATGTTTTGTACAATTTTATGTTTTGTATGTGATTAATGATGAAGCACACAGCTAAATGGGTTACAACTTCTTGTTTATTGCACGGAGCGACATTTCGGTGTAGATTCTTTTAGCTTGAAAACAGTGAAAGGCTCTACACCTAAACGCCTCTCTATGCAATCAACAAATAATTGTTATCTTTTAAGTCATGTGCTTCATTATTGACCGAAGTTTGTAGACATATCATGTCCTTAAAACCTACAAACCCATTATCCATGAAGAGAAGATATCTGCTGCAAACATAGTCCTTGAATTCTGAAACATATTAGGTTATACTCAACGATATTGGTGGTACCTGGGCACTATCTGACGGTTTTACTGACTTAAACTTCATGTTTACAAAACAACTAGTGAAGTTCATTTCTATTTGTATAGGACTATGACAATAATTACTGAATTATGTGACAAGTAATATAACTATAGACTACAACACCCTTTCCATAATGATAAGGAATCTCTGCTAAATACACATTCCATTGTTCGATGTCCACAACATATGTCACTATGTCTAAGCACTATCTAAATCACTATATATACTTATAAATCTGTCTAAATGTTTGATCTATGGCTTATAAAAATAATAATAGTGGCTGTAAATTGAATATTATTTAGATTCAGCCAGAAATCACTTCATTATGCTCTTGGCTTTAATCTGAACGTTGTTGTTTTGTGACACGGTGTAAGTTTGTAACTGAATCTGCATTAGCTCAATTTTGTTAACCATTTTATACGCCATATATCGCATGCTTATACTTTCTGTTTGTATTTTTATATGAAGGCGATAGACGTCAAGCTATCGTTGAGTTGACGAAACATGCTGTTATTTTTACAGCTTTACGATTGTCATTTACTATGCATTTACATTTACTCTCTAACAATGTGTATTCGTTCGTCTACCTACAGCCCTACATATGCGTTGATAACGATTATGAATTATTTGGATTGTACATTATATTTCAGCATCAGCGTTTTCTATCTATCTTGTTGTTTACATTTGAAATGTTGTATATTTGAAGGTGTATAAGCATGTCATGAACATTAAACTATACACTCCCAGTTATGTTTCGTACGTTTGCTTGTCATTTGTTGGTCGTATGCCCTTATATGTTTAGATCTGAGCCTCTACAAATGAATATGTATCAGATGCCCCACGCATCAAGGATTACAAAGGATGTGTGTTTTAAAGGTGTGTAATGAGTCTGTGACTGGATTCCCACAGTTGTGGTTGTGCTTTGGTTGTGCTGCTAGGATAGCCAGCATCACATCCGTGGGTTCACTGAGGTAAACTGCAGAGACTGGCATCACTGGCTTCCTCCCATGTCAAGATGCCACTCCGTGACATACGTGAGGTACTCTTTAATGCCCCGCTTGACCAAACTTTGACCTCCAGCCCATCCACCCAGAAATACTTCCACTATTTGTATCCGTGTGTTTTTTGCCGGTTTACTTATTGCAATAAACAAAATACAGCTATTTTGTATTTCTTGCTTTATTCAAAGCCAAAGCACATTGCATATTACATCTGTCATTGATTCCGTGATGACTTCCCTTACCAGCAAGCTAACAGAAGATAGATATTCATTACAGAACAGCATAGTACAACAAAGTGACCTCACCAGCAAGCTAACAGAAGATAGATATTCATTACAGAGCAGCATAGTACAACAAAGCGACCTCACCAGCAAGCTATCAGAAGATAGATATTCATTACAGAACAGCATAGTACAACAAAGCGACCTCACCAGCAAGCTAACCGAAGATAGATATTCATTACAGAACAGCATAGTACAACAAAGCGACCTCACCAGCAAGCTAACCGAAGATAGATATTCATTACAGAACAGCATAGTACAACAAAGCGACCTCACCAGCAAGCTAACAGAAGATAGATATTCATTACAGAACAGCATAGTACAACAAAGCGACCTCACCAGCAAGCTAACCGAAGATTGATATTCAGTACAGAACAGCATAGTACAACAAAGCGAATCAGTAAATCAGTATGATTTTACGCCGGTCTCCAGCACTTTTCAAGCATCATCAAGATTGAGGAACACCAGAACACTCGGTAACACTGGGGCCGACCGTATGTTATCGCAAGTAAGAGTGAGTGAGTTGGTTTTAGGTCCCCTTTGAACAGTATTTCACCTCTGCCGCGGTATGTCAAACTCAGTATCAGGAAATTATTGATTTAGGTCTCAGACGACAGCTGCCATGTTGCTGGAATGTTGGTGAGTGCTGGCTAAAAACAAACATACACTGTGGTCAAATCCAGAGATTATGACATTCCAACTCGAGATGAGTGGATCTCGTCACGCCTAGAGGCTGCAACTCCAGATCTGGCTTGGGCGACTGAGCCATCTGCGTATCTATGTTACTTGATGTACACACGCCAGCTACTGATAGCGATGACAGCTACCTCTTCAAATCCAGCTGGGAGAAGGCAACTGATTGCTGACTGATCACGCCTTCACAGTGTAGTAGCGGTTATTCGAATCTTGATCGCCATGGTCTACATACAACAAATCAGAATATAATGTTATAACAGACATTTGTTATTAGTTAGAATATTGTTTTGTCTCTAAAATTGTGCACGTTGTACTACCTTGGATTAAGGCAACACTTTAAGATGACACAAGCGAAAAATTTATTTCAAGGTCAAAATAAATCCGTTAAGATGGCTCTGTTCTAAGTCTGGATAAAACGTTCCCCTCAAGTGTTGAGACAATCCGCCAGTCCCCCCAAGCCCAACCCCTTTACTGTAATGTGGATCTTCAAATAGATTTTTCGAAATACATGTACAATCATATCAATCTCAATCCCACTGTACACAGTATCAATGGAACTTGTTTAGCAATACCTACACAAAGTTTGAGGACAGACACTTTCTTTACATGACCACGTTTAACCTGCCATGACCAATAGTTAGAAGGGAGGCGGACATAAAGGACCCAAACTATGAACGTTTCCTTGGTTCCGGATCAGAAGGTTCCTACAATGTATGTGGGAAGTTTATTGCTATTCAAATACAGAGGTTCATTTTGTTTGAATAACATTAGAATTCGAAAACACAGCCCAGCTGATACTTGTTATATGAATTCCCAATAACCTCAGCGTATTGACTTTATAGGTCAGGTATTAATATCTTCTCTTCAGGTGATAGTGCACAATTTGGATATTGACCCTTATTTATTTGTGCCATGATATTTAATTTCCCTCAAAACAAACGAGGAATTTGGTATTTATGATGCAAATATCAACACTGTTATTTCTAAACACGCAACCAATCAACATTCAATATAGAGTTATTGTTAGATTCCACTTAATTTGTAACAGTTTGTCATCATCGAAATTTTCAGGGCCTCGTCAAATAGAAAAATGAATGATTGCACTCACTTTTCCTTTTCGAAGCTACAAAATGAATGATTATATTGGTGAATGGATGGATGGATGGATGGCTGGATGGATGGATCAGTGAGTGAATGAGGGAAATGATTTACAGATTTACATCAATGAGTTTTATGCATATTTGAGGTCCATGTTCTAATTGTGTAAAGGAAACTTCACATTTACATTAAACGATAATACTAGTACTTCATTGAACCATTGATTTGTGTAAACTACTGTTTAAAACTGTGCTAAACAAACTCACTCATTTGTCTAATTTAGAATTAACTGTGATGTAAATATTTTCCCTGTCACGATGCACATATTTCTAACACATGTTCTATGATTATTGCAGCCTTTCAAGGAGATACTGAAACAAACTATCCTTAGACTCCCACACAATGTACAATATTCTGACACGTCAATATTTCTTCAGATTCTGAAAATAGAGACAGATTCTCCTCATTCCTGTTATACGTAAAATACTATTTTCAATTTAACCCACAATAAATATTTTACATATTACATATTAGAACAGACACGACACATTGTTTCCAAAAAGGAATGTCAAAGACAGCAGTAAAGACATTCGTGAGTATTAAAGGAGCAAGTAATTGTGCTCATAGACATAAAGTAATAGTTATGCACAGACTATACGATGATATGATAAATAAAAACATCTAAAATGTAATAAATAAAAACAGAGTCCACTCCTGACCAGGTTGAAAACATCACTTCTTACACATGAATTCACAAGATGTGTCCCTTATTTCATGGCAATATTCACACCTTTAACTCATGGATTATTATGTTTTAATAAAAAAATGACATCATGGTATGAAAATGATACTTTTGGAAATGTTTCAGAGAATGATTGAGAGAGGATAAGATTCTTCTATGGGATAAAGGAGCAGAATGAAGTGCTGAGGTGTTGTCATTGACAACCGCTGTTACTCCTCTTGTGCCTTATCTTCCTCAAGGCGAATCCTTTCTTACGGCACAGCAGAACATCATAGACAAAACCATTCCTATAATCTGTAAAGGAAACACAAAGTACGGTCGGAATTATCTCGATATTTGCCATCAATCTCTTAATGGTCATATTTTATAAATCACTAATATTTAGGTATAGACGCTCACAAAGATAAACAATTATATTTGAAGCTATGTTGATCGAAATCAGTTTACTCTGAATTCTTTCAATTGATTAGAAAACCTCCATCTGCAATGTGAAGATTTCAACATCTCACATTCAACCTTCCCCTGTCACTAAGGATCTTGGTGTATATCTTGATGCCAGTTTGTCTGTAAGCGATACAAGTACCAAATTTTCACTCAATGTAGACAACACTATTCTCCGTCGATTCAACGCACAGGGGAAGTTGGCCGGCAGGTCAAAGTTTCCGCTATTTTGAAAAAACTGAATTTTTTGTCGATTTTCACGTTTTGATGGTGCTTGTGTTCAAAATTCGTCTCCTCCAGAACGGCATATAGTACAATCGTGTTCAACATATCATTTTAAAGCCCACACTCCGGACTACTTAATCTCTTCAAGGCATATTGATATCTTGAACATTTGATGAGTTATCACCCTTGGAATTTGGTTAATTTTTCTAAGACGCATTTGGATATGGTTCATAAAAATATCACAGCTCTGCAAAAAACACTATGGATTACATTGTTCAAGGTACCAAAATGTAGATAATTGAACGAGAAACATTTCACATTATGATTTTGTAAAATTCAATAATTACGTCACAATTACGACACAAACACAAACTGTACGATTTTTCACATTTCCGCACGTTTTGACGGTGCCTGTGTTCAAAAATCTTCTTCTCCAGAACGGCATATAGTACGATCGTGTTCTATATATCGTTTTAAAGCCCACACGTCGGACTACCTAAACTCTTCAAGGCATGTCGATATCTTGAATAGTGTCGGAGTTACTACCTTTGGAATGTTTATCAATTTTGTCAAAACGCATTTTTGTAGGGTTCACAGCTCTGCGAAAACACAATGGATTTTACAGTACCAAACTGTAGATGATGAAATGTGGAACATTTCTGCTTCACATTATTGTTATGTAAAAGTCAATAATTACGCCACAATTACGCCACAAACAGGGAGGGACATTAGGATTTTCGCATTTTGTCAGTTGTGAGATAACTGAAGGAAGCGACAGTAAAATCTAGCAACAATCGCCACTTCCTGGTTTTCCAATGCCCAAAGAAATAGTTCCCCTTATAACAGGCCGTAGCTCCTTTGTTCTTAGGCCTACAGTCAAAACCATTAGTGTTTTGGCTTCAATACTTCAAACACCCAAAACTCCGAGTTAAATCGACGCTCCAGCTGGCGTCCAAAGAAGCAGTACAAGTAAAGCCAGCCACGGGGAGTGAATGGGGGAGTCTGAAGACGGTCAGTATTGCCCATGAGGCAATCCTAGTTATTATTATTATTATATTTTGATGGTACTCTTTAAACGGATGTCAATCGATAAACATGCACCACTGAACTGAAAATGTATGCAGTCTTCAAACCTATCGATTTAAAATAGACAGTGAACATTTTTACTTCAACGATTTGCGATGCCCTTTTTTACCATGAGTCGCAACTGTTTCAGTATATACTTTGATGGAAATCTGGAATACATAGCTGTGAATGTTTTATTTTACAATCAGACATTTGTGCAAATAGATAGATAGATAGATAGATAGATAGATAGATAGATAGATAGATAGATAGATAGATAAACTTTACTCACCATAATAACAGCGCCAAGAAATGCCACTGCCGCCGTGATACCAAGGTTAGGTGCCAGTGTTTTGAAAAACTCCTCGGCACAAGGCTAGAAATCAGAGAATTTGTCAATGTTTAACACAATAGATTTCCACAAAGTGAGGAGTTCAGCCTCAAAAAACCCAGAGCTTTAAGAACATTTTGATAATATTTCAATTGATGAAGTTTTTATGCTGAAGTCAAACATATTCATATGAAGTTCCAAGGGACCCGATACACGTGAGATCTGACAACAGTGTGGATTAGGTGGCATGGCTCGGTCACTTCGCTAATTGTTTGATCGGCATTAAATCGGTGAGTCAATAATGAGACACGTGACTTTATGGATGACAACTTCTTGTTTATTGCATAGAGCGACGTCGATGTAGATTCTTACACTGCTAATTTCGTCCTAAACCGATTGCGTAGTTCGTTTCATATTCAATCATATCCCAGGTTTGAATATTTACTGACTGACGTCATACTGCTGGACGTGAAACATCATCCACCACGCACTTGGAACTTGTCAATTCGATATTCGACCCTGTAAATCCGCACGCTTATCCGGAGAAACGTCGGGTAATTAAAATTAACGAAAAGTGACAATTAAAAGGTTTATGTCCCCTTTTCATTTTCAAAGCCGGATCATCATGCGGGTTGCATTTCTGTAAAGGAGTTAACTTACCTTCTGATAAGTCTCAAGTTTACAGGAGACTTCAGTTAAGGTGTCAACAGGATAATCTGAAATTCCAGATTTGGCTCCACAGCAATGGAACTGCAACAAATGTTATAGGTCTCATTTCCCGGTGTGACGTTTCTCGATCTTTATGTGTGAGTGAGTGAGTGGTTTTCCGTTGCCTTTTTGCAATACTCCAGCAATATCACAGCGGGGGACACCAGAAATGGGCTTCACACAATGTACCCATGTGGGGATCTTGATCTTTATTAAGAGGATAGCAATTACGTCAATAAATCTGGGAGATATGATCCCATGTTATAAATATTCCATCAAGATTTAAATATCTAAGAACCACTATTTCGTTATTTTATGATGCCATTAAAGGGTACCCGTAAGTGCAGTGTCTTACCGCTTCCTGGAAGTTATGTATGAAGAGTTTGGCATCTGTGTCGCCCTTGTAGACATTAACTTTGCTCTGGAGGTAATTGCCGAATGCGTCTTTCACCTGTCAAGAAAGTGAAAGCAGATAACATAATGTGCAAGTGAGTGACTTTTTAAGTCACTACACATACGTACAGAAACACAGTATTGTTTTATAAGTGAATCTTGTTTAACTCCGCTCTGAAAATTTCTCCAGTTTCAACTTCATGAAACCAATCAGCGTACTTTAGTTTAATATTAGGTTGGGCATGGGATTCGACTCTATGATAATTACATCCTGGCATGCACAAGGGACGCAACTCTGAACAGCGAATTGGTAAGGCTTAAACGGCAAGTGATGCCGCCTATCTTACACTGATGCCTGGGCAATTTGCTTCGTCCAGCTGTTAAGGATATGGTGTGGCTATAATAATAATAATGAGTTATATGAGCTCGAGGCTGCTGGTATACATACGTTATCCATCTGGATGAGAACAATCACTCCAGCCGCAAGAAGAACCACAAATACGATGCACAAACTGATGAAAAACTGAAAATATGAAAACATACATTGAAACATTTTTTAAATAATATTTCAGTCATAATGTTCCGATAACATATCACAACGAGTTGTTGAACTGAACACAACTTTCAACTAAATTTCATTTTGTTTGTTTTTTGATTGCTTATATTTTTTATGTTATTTTTAACGCCGTATTTAGCAATATTCCAGATACAAATCAGGCCAGCGAGTCTGGACAAGAAAGTCTAGTGATTGATATTATGAGCGACGACCCATGTGGTCGGGGTAATCAAACAGGAAGTGACCTCACCACAACAAGAAGGCACTGGCTCCTTCTGATTGTTCCACAAACTCCGACAACGCCGACAAGGAGGATGACGCACCCGATGCTGATGAAAATGCTGGAGGCTGTCAGTAACGCGTTAAAATCGACAGACTCGTTTATGTATTCACCAGCGTCTGGGTCAACCCGAATCCAGATTCCAAATCCTACAATCCCAAGCCCAAGAATCTGAAATGAAATGATGCATTAGACAAAACAGAGCGAATGCTACAAGGATCTCAACATTGCCTTGAGTCAGATATTGCCAACATTGCCTTGAGTCAGATATTGCCAACATTGCCTTGAGTCAGATATTGCCAACATTGCCTTGAGTCAGATATTGCCAACATTGCCTTGAGTCAGATATTGCCAACATTGCCTTGAGTCAGATATTGCCAACATTGCCTTGAGTCAGATATTGCCAACAATGATCAATTCTAAAACATAAGACATAAGAACATATTACATTATTTCATCACTTTTATAGAGGTCATTCCATCGGTATTTGGATAAAATGATTACATTTAAAGCGACTGAGTGAATGAGAGGTCTCGTTTAATCGGCACTTTTATCAGAAGATCTGACAGAGTGTAAAAGTGTCAGTAAAACATGTAGAAAAGAGATTGGAATCCCCAGTGTTCCCCTCCTTATAGTTCTGTTCTTTGATGTACTTGTATATGAATAACGTCATTTCAACAAGAAGTTTAACTCAAGCTTTACATCGATGATCTGATATCGTTCAATAACTACCAAACAGCCAATTCCCTTCCACTGATTTACCCCACTGAACTTGTAATGACCATGGATACCGTCTAGTGATTTAAGTATTAAGATCCATGCATGACAAATCCAGAGTGACAACAAACTCTCAACAGGACTGTGTGACAGGAGGTATAACTTTAACAATTCCAATTGTCAACTTTCTCTTTATATCGACCAGTCTTCTAACAGCTCCAGTCTTTGGTGTTTACATTTCATAAGTTAAAAGGAACAATCTAGAATGGTCTTTTGACCAAGATTTAATAAGAAAACATTTGACTCATGTTCAGAATATGTTCGGCATCCAAATCCTGAAGCTTTCAAAAAGTTTAATGGTGGACACGTAGGCATCAGTGGCAGAATTGATCCAATTCCCTATTTTAAGTACACCATACATTCCCGAATTATTTCTATTAAACAATTGTCTAGCCTTAGCATGTGTTTATGACGGGTGCCACCGGTTGGACAGGATACGGTGGTTTTTTTCGGGAGTGATTCAAAAATGCAACAGTATGATATGGCAAATATCGTAAATCGATCCTGCTCTTGATACAGTTTTGGGGGGATGTGAAAAGATTTTAGTAGCTTATATTCAACATTGTGATCACACAGATTAAGATCACTGTAAACTTTATTCAAGATGGGTACAAATATTTTATTGATGCACGTGGTCCGGGCGGCAGTCAGTTGTATTGATTGAATAGGTCAACGTGACCCAACCGACGTCCACCGCTCTTTAAACTGAATCATTGTTGTTATCCGTAGTTCAGATCGATAAGTAAAACCTGTTCGAACGATTAATGCACTGGCGTGTCTGCTTTGTATTGCTGAATAGGACACTTGTCATCACATATACACTATACCTACTTATCATTACTACTTACAAATATCAGTATGCTTTTATCGATCGAACAGAAATAGTTATGTCGTTTTTTGTCGACATATTGATAACACCCCGATATACTACTCATGGGTTGGAGTGAGATTGTAATTTATAATTTAGTGCATTTAAATAACAGCGACCTGAAAGAAAGATGGCTTGACTAAACAATCCAATGAGTAATGTGCACATCGATTGTCACCATACTCTTAAACGTTGACACTATATAACATCGTCCCCGACCGTAGTGTTCTGTTCATTACGTTACTTGGTATGAACGATTCCTGGGGAAAACTCCCAACCCGGAAATCCCAACCCTATTAATAGATCTGGTGCGCAAATACACCTGTACGTATCACACAATACATTTTATTATTATGTATTACAGGACCCAGAAGAAATACGATCATGTGCAGAATAATATGGGATCCGTTAGCATAATATGTTTATATTCAGTACATAAAGGGCCCATACTGATAATACTTCCGTGTAAAAAAAATCAATATTGAGAGAAACGCTGTAAAATTCACTTATCGTTTTGTTGGTTTTGGAAGGAAGAATTCATATGACGTTAAACTTGTTTATAGTCGAAACATTTGTGATGATGCCAGATGTAGCATACGTTGTTATTGAGAACAGTTATGCATGCCAGGAACCAGGAACCAGACCGTACGTTAACATTCAGAACACGCTAGACTAGGGAACTGGATATCCCCATAACGGACATACACAAGAACAGCATTAAACTCACCAAGAACAGAATGTTGAATGCGTACATCAAATATTTGATGCAACTAATTCTTTCCCCAGAACACATCCTGCTGCTTAGTATTCCTCACGTATGCAGATTAACGGTACACCAGTATGTCCTATACGTTGTCCTGTGGACAAAGAACGGTCACAGCTGGTAGAAGACAATATCAGAATGTACATGCACATACAGGTGTAAGTCATACATTAGTTTGAATGTCAGGATAACTTCGTTACAACAAACACTACCTTTCTCTGTGGCTGTTAGACTCCTTGTGTAGACAAGTGGCTGGGATGTGACTGGTTGACGTGTGTTGCGTGACGCGTGTTCGATATGAGTCAAATGGCAAACCCTACTTTCGTTTTCATTTTGATTTATGCATTTATTGCGCCTGAATGAAATATTAATAATATGAAATATAACATACAAGCATCTATATAATTATCCTCATTATATATTGCGTGTGCTGAGGTGAATAGAACTAATCAAACCGAAAGCCATTCGTGACCAGCTCGTGTTATTCCGGGACAGGTGGAATAGCAAATGGGCGAGTGGTGACGAATGACCGAAAGCCTGCGTTTGTTTTTGTTTGTTTATTTTCTACATATACTATTCACACTTTGCTACGGATCAAAGCATTGATTCAACAGAAAACTATGATATGGGGTCAAATTTGGTTTAAATATCTAAGCCTATTGTAAACATGGATCCTAGGTTTCATTGCATCTTGTGGATCCCATACCTGCTATTGACAGGTGTTCGTACTTGTCAAAGACCCGTGCCATGATTTGCAAAATGGTTCATTGGTGCCATGAAAGCCATTTTTATGGTTACTCATGTATCACGTGCATACGGTTAGCTTAAAGTGGCTATTTTCCTAATATACTCTCCCAAAAAAGAAACGCATATAGGAATTTCAACTGTATTTTTATGTTTATTTTGAAACATCTTGTAGGCTTTATGAGTCAATGAAATATAGCGAAATTTCACACTGGGAATGCAGACTTATCCGTCTTTGGCACCAACTCGAGGAAAGTCAGTTTGAGTGTCACATGGAGACGTGTGGTGGCGCTGAAGTCAATACCTCGTGTGACCACCGTGGACATCCAGAACTGCACGGCATCGCCTCGGCATCGAACGAATAAGTCTCAGAATCTCGTGTTGCCCAATCGCAGCCCACTCTGCCTGTAGTGCCTGTGCGAGTTGCTGAAGTGTTTGGGGCTGAGGGTTACGGCGACGCACCCGTCTGTCCAGGGTGTCACACAGATGTTCGATCGGGTTTAAGTCCGGTGGTCTTGAGGGCCAGGGGAGCACATTGATGTTGTGGTTCTGGAGGCATAGTCCTGTTGAAACAACTCCCCTCTGGCGATCAATGATTGGAAGGAGGTGTGGGCGTAGGATTTCGTCACAGTACCGTTGAGCTGTCAGGTTGACCTGGATCATCACCAAATCACTTCTCCTACGGCAGGTGATCGCTCCCCACATCATAACACTTCCCCGGCCGAATCTGTCCACTTGGGGAACGCAAGCGTCGGCGAAACGTTCACGTCGACGTCTGTACACCTGCATTCTTCCATCGCGTCGTTCCAATAGAAATCGTGATTCATCACTGAACCAGATTCTACGCCAATTCGGTAGGTTCCAGGCCTGAACGTTGGTGCACCATTGAACTCGATGTCGACGATGTTGTTGTCGAAGCACAGGGCCAAAATAAGGTCTTCTGGCACGTAAACCAGCCTCTCTCAGCCTGTTCCTGACGGTCTGTGCAGAAAGCCTCCTCAATCCGGGTATTTGTCGAGCGGTACTGGTCGCCGTAGCTGTTCGATGACGCAGGTGAAGTACCCGGATGTAGCGACCCTTCGCCGCAGTGGTCACTCGAGGTCGCCCACTACGAGGGGCATCTGCTACCACATTTGGCCGGCGATATCTCTCTCAGAGCCGTGAAATGGTGCTTTGGTGTACATTCATGCTACGGGCAACTGCACGTTGAGACTGGCCAGCTTCAAGCAAACCAATGACGGTTGGCTTCACTTAGACGTGGCATTTTGCGTTCGTCAACAATATTCCACATACAGTGAATAATCGACAGACAGCGATCAACCTTTTATACCCATATCATTGAGACTATCTGATCCCCAACTTTCACGTGCATTGCATGTGAATTGTGTATTCTGTGACACTACACGCCGAAATTGAAAATCATGCTGTTAAATACGGGTATTTTACGGATGGTGCGTTTTGTTGTGATGTTTCAAAACATAAACACCATAGGACTCATAAACAGAGCAAAACCTTTTGTAAAATGACTCACGTTTTAATTCATTGCTACATGAAATTGTTATTTTCATGCTGGGCTTCTTTTTTGGGAGTGTATATGTGTTACTATATCATTATTTGACCAGTTTTAAATTGATACCATTTCAGATTATATATCTACGTTTAAGTAAAGTTGCGTATTTTTATGATCCTTAGCAAAGTGTGAGTAATATAGTTTGAATGCATTGACTGACTGGTAATATAATCGTTAGGAAATTGTCTTTGGTGAGCAAAAACTATTCAAACTAATGTTCAAATCATGTCATCATGATTTAGTTGTATGCTGTTAATACGCCATTGTGATAACTATACTGCATTTGTGTACTGCATTGTGTTATCTATAGTATTTATATAATGGATCATTATGCCATGGATTGAAATACCGAACACATTGTGTTCCAGAACCATATAGGTTTCATCATAGTGGCAAAGGTCTAATATCGGTATATCGTCGGCCTATCCCCCTTTATCACGCTGCAACGTATTGATATAACTGACATGCAGTTCAAGTGGCATTAAACGAAATCTGGGTGAGTTTATGTGTATGTTTTCATGTTTTCATGACACTATTGAGAATAATGATTTTCAGGAGAAATACGGAAAATTTGCGGACTTCACGAAATGTCACGCTTGCTTCTCAAGTACCAAGTTGTCTACATTGCTCGTGGTGCCTTCGGTTTGGTACCTTTGTCAGGAAAACAACCTTTTTTAAACCGAGTAAGGCAGAATTCTCCGAAATGGATGTATAGCATACAGTAGCAGTAGTTGTTGTAGTGAATGCAGGAGGGTATGTAAAATCGTGAGTGGTTTCACATCAAGAGCACTTCATACACAACAAATCACTGCCTATTCTGTGCGATTATAACATGCAACTGGATTCTAAGGAAAAACATTTTATTTCAATACACAACATACATCAATACATGCACAGAAAAATGTCAATGGTCGCGATGGCCCTGTCACAATACATAAAATACCTCCATGGTTTAATTTATGGTTTTCTATTGTCTGTGTATTTTGTTTAAAATATTTACTGCTTTCGCAATTGCTTGAATATTGCATTGTCGATGACACTGCGAAACCTTTGTAATCACAGTTAATAACTGCATAAAAAGCCATAAGATCTTATGACTATTTCAGAATTGTAAGTACCGTATTTTTCCATTATTGCGTTCAGCCTGAGCTAAGTCACCACATGACCATAGATATATTTACACAACCTGGACACTCCATAACAACAGCACGAGTGAAATGTTTGCTCTGGGGGCAATGATGAATATTACTATTATCTAGTTTAATATATATAGCGCTACAACAATGATACAAATGGATGTTTTGTACCTAGAACTCAAAATAAGAGCAAAACTTCAGACGTGAGAACAAATATTAGTGATATTTCGCTCTTTAAAAAAGTTAAATGTGAGTGAAGTTGACCCAAATCATTAAACTACTGTGACTAACATATTGCTGACGTGTCACTAGTCCACTGTTTCAAACATGTTATGTGTCAGTAGGTGTTCGTTTCTGGTTGCAGAAATTATGATATTGGAAGTAATGTTCCAGAAATGAACCAGTCTAACACAACTGTTGTTGCCTGACGACTTCGTCAAAGACCAAGTCATTGTTCTTCTCTCGACCTCTGTGTTCCATCAATATCCTGCCCTCCGTATTACACAGCTGAATATCAACGACAAACTCATTCCTAAAACCTGCGATATGAAAGAAAAATATATTCAGTTATATCCTCGGATTATCAGGAAAAAGTGTGTTGTCTAATATTTACCGATGCCCTTTGCATGTTTAGAAGGACAGTTTAAATAACAATGCCTCTAATAGCATTTTTATGTAATTGTATGCCACCATTACACCCATGTTGTATTTCTTTTGCCAGCTCGTTAATGAATATTGTAGATAAGAAAGGACTTACTATCCACCCTTGCCTAACACCCATTTGTCAAAATCTTCAGAATGTATTCAAATTTATTTACCCTGTGTTACTTCGGAGTGTCTGTTCCACTCTTGTCAAGCATGTTAATCAAGTATCTGTTTGAAATTGCATGCCAGTACATGCCATTGTTCCAAAACATTTGTCTTCTTCTAAGACGATGCTCACCATAACAGCAGCAGCACCGAAGGCGACTCCGATCGTCAGGACAACGTCGGGGGTCAACTGTTTTATATACTCGTCAGCGCAAGGCTAGAGATAGAACCAAACGTCATCATTAAACTGAACGAAACAAGTCGATGTATGCACCAGGGCATTTTGGTTGAAATGTCTACAAAAGCAAATAGTTAATGCGAGCAGACGTTCTCGCAAATCTGGACAGATTTTGTCCCATCGGTGGTACGTCGGTACTCATCAAAAACACACGGAAATTCAAGTCAAAACAACTGACCTTGTAGTGATTCTCTGGTGTACAGTTGTCCGTGGTTATGTTTATGATGCGATAATCGAAAACACCTCTTTCTCCTCCACAGCAGTTAAACTGAAAGACGGATGCATTAAAGTTAGCAAATGCCATTCTTAAAAGCAACCTGTGTAAATTTTGATTAGCCATCATTGATAAGCAAGAAACAATGGAATCTTTATTAACATGATAATGTAGGTGTCTATTGAGTTAACGGCATTGACGTCATGGTGACGTCATGGTGACGTCATGTGAATCACTATGACGCCTTGACATCCGTACAGACTAGACACTATAATGGGTTTTACAAAAGTGCTACTGGCTAATTTTGGTCAGCCTGAAGCACAGCTAAGTATATAGGTGTTAGTGGCACATCCACGGTGCCATTTGCCAGGACAATGTGAAAAAAATGGTTGTCCCCAGCCATGACAATACATACATCTTCATTTCAGTCTAAATGTCTTTACTGGGTAACGACGATAGCTAATATATTATATTTGATATATGGTTTATGAGAGAGTTGTAAGCAACGTCTAACATAATTCCTGATGACAATTCATAGATAATTGATAATCTATCGATGATTGAAGGTATTGACCGTTTCATAATATTTGGCTTTTCATGACGTATCTCAACTAGAATTATTTGTGATCGGATTATTTATTTTTCAAAATGTTTATTACTTTTAAGTTATCTTACTGTATTCTGAAAATTGTCCATATACGTTTGGGCATCTTGGTTATTAAACGCCTTGACTTTGCTCTGTAGGTGATCACGGAACGCATCCCGTAACTGAAAAGAAAATACACAATAATCATAATTATCATCTGAATCACAAAAAGAAAAGTTACTCAATATATTTATTGCATTCTGCAGTGTTTGCATTGATAAAATGATAAATTGGCTTTACCAGAAAATGTATTCATAATATTGTTTGGCTAAGTCATAAAAGGCGTTTTAAAAGGGAAAAGATATTATCAGAATGGCTTTCATCTGATCTGTTGTGTACTTACTGGGCTCCTTTGAGTTAAGACGATAATTCCAGTCACAAGAAGAATGGCAAAGAAGACGAACAAACTTATGAAGAACTGAAATAATAATAAAACTGATTACAATAGTGCCCACCACCCTGCGCCGTTAATATTGATCCGTAATAATGTTACGGCATAAATTGATCTCATATTGTTGATCACTGGATTGTCTGGTCCAGACTGGATTATTTACAGACCGCCGCCATATAGCTGGACTATTGCTGAGTGAGTGAGGACAACAACAAACAAACAAAACATGGGATCATGAAGCATGGGCATGTTAAAAACGTTTAGACAGTAACGGTTTGGCCATTACCGTTATCTCAGTGATTTGGAGGACGCGTTATATAGCAACGACCTGCACAGTGACCCCATAAAGCATAAACACCGGTTTACAATTATGTTCTGTTGAAACAAATCACCCTCCACCTGTACGTGTCTAAAATGATGCACTCACCACTATAAGGAGTTGCTGTTTCTTTCTGATTGCACCACAGACTCCGATATTCCCAATCACGAACATCACGGCACCGATGGCAATGAAGACATAAGCTGGTATGTACAATGCATTGAAATTGTACGCTTCATCTATGTATTTGCCGGTCACTGGGCCAAGACGGAGCCATATCCCAAAGCCTATTAAGCCGAGGCCAAGGACCTGATGAACGTAAAATGAAATACAAGTGAAATTTGGAGGTTTTAAACAAACATAAAATATTGGAATATGAACAAATATATGCAAGCGTTATCAATAATTATCCAAACGTTCCATTCCTGATATATTAAATCCTCAGTGAGCAAAACATTAGAATAATACTCTTTTCATCAAATCGTATGAGCGGCGGTGGGGTAGCCTAGTGGTTAAAGCGTTCGCTCGTCACGCCGAAGGCCCGGGTTCGATTCCCCACAATGAGTACAATGTGTGAAGCCCCTTTTTAGGTGTCCCCCGTCGTGATATTGCTGGAATATTACTAAAAGCGGCGTAAAACCATACTCACTGACTCAGTCTAATCGTCTGAACTTGTAACAGTCGGGTTAAAACTTATGCAAATCTAATGCCCTAATAATAGCTGGGTTTGGGGTTTTGGGTTTTTGTGACGAACGAAAGCTAAAATATATGAACGAATGAAGGCACCAAAGCGTATTAGTTCTTCTCTATCTGCGGCGTCAGAATAAAGAAACATACCCTGGGTGTACTCCAATCTAGGTTTTAGGAGAGGGTTTCACTACGTTGGCATAACTTGTACCCAATCCATTCTCTTGAATAAATATGTTTAAATCAAAATCAAATCGAATCTAGTAATTGTACTTGCAATAATGTGCCGTCCATATTCTTGGATAACCGATATTAATTCATCAACGATAAATTTACGCAATTGTTCTTATGGTCAGTACTTATCTTGAAACCATTTTAGAGGGACACGTGGTTGCTGTAAAGTCTAAAGCGCCGGTTTTAGTAGTACAAAGTTGTGTGATCAGGGCAAGACCTGTGATTGTAGGTTCGCATCCCGGGTCGTCCAGAATGTTTGTAGGTTTGCCAGCATTTCTACCTGGTGTCATTCCGTGACATAACTACAGTACTGTTACAGCTAGGGTGAACTCACTCACTCAAGGTAGAAACCATTAAAACAGTTCGTTCATACATACATACATACAAACATACACACATACATACATACATACATACATACATACATACATACATACATACATACATACATACATACATACATACATACATACATACATACATACATACATACATACATACATACATACATACATACATACATGTATACACGCATACACACACATACATGCATACATACATACATACATACATGCATACACACACATGCATACACATACATACATGCATTCATTCATGCATACACGCATGTACATGCATGCATACATACATACACACATACATGCATTCATTCATTCATGCATACACGCATACACGCATACATATATATGCATGCAAGCATACATGCATTCACACACACATACATACATGCACACACATACATACATACATGCATGCATTCACGCATTCACGCATACACACATACATACATACATACACACATACACATACATACATACATGCATGCATGCATGCATGCATTCACGCATACACGCATACACACATACATACATACACACATACACACACACACATACATACATACATACAATCTAGACATACTAGATATTGTGGAGCATTGTCCAACGCTGTTCAGCTACAGTGCCACGCAATCAACCAAGTCACGGATCATGGCCGCAGTCCATTCAGTCGACTCTTACGACAAGAAAATATCGTACCGACATATTCTCATACGGGTACACAAACTTGTACATGTATAAAAGCGTAAATGTATCACAGGACTGAAAGAATTAGTGACAATGGCGTTGGCAGTTATTGCGGCAAGAAATACAGCTTTGACAACAGGCTAGATAGAGCTTTTAAAGCCATATTTATGACAGGACGCGTCTTGGACATTCTATAGGACGGCACTTCTGATTTGTAAAGGAGAGGAAATTTTCCTTTCATGCCATTTGTATTGATTTCAAAGGTAGCATTTATTGACAGCTCCCCTATTTGTATAGAACACATACTTCAACTCAGGTCAAATGTTTTATACGTATTTTGTTTCCTCTCACACCTTGCGTGGCAGACACTGGGATGAAATATGCATGCATGACTTGATACATGAACAAGGGATTTAGATAATCAGCCACGTACTTGTGCTGAAGAGGCAATCCGTTGTTTACGTGACGTTGAATTGATCTGTTCTTACCTGTTACTGTGTATAACTATTTGTTGATAAGGTTCAGAAGAAAAGGTTATAAAATGCATCCAAATGCAAGACAGTATCTTTTAATACATTACTGTACGGACACGAAGAAAACTGTACTAACACTCACTGTACTGTATATACTGAATAACTCATCAATAACAACAACGAGAGTCACAAATGAGGAAACACTTTTCGGAAGAAACACATCACCATATCTGTTGGCTTGATGACGTTGACAATGCATCTGTACAGGCATGTGAACGCCAACATTATGAGGGTCAACATACATATATAAAGGAAACAGCAAGGACATGATATTTACGTGCGTTTCTCGTTTTGTTTCTTGCCATTCTGCAAATTGTAAATAAGCATACATGAATTTATGGGAGCGACTTTTAAGTAATGACTACTTGTGTTCAATCCTTTTCAGGGGAATGAAATATGTTACGTAATTGAGTTACATAATTCTACATGCAGAGACTGCCTGGTGAGTCACCCCATGTTGTCACTCCATGCATCTGTAAACATGAAATGAATGTCAAACTTTCACTGAATACTTTTGTAATCATTCACACCAAGTGGTGTTCTAACGAGGCCCATACCTGTCGACAGGCCCTGGGAATAATATAACGAAACAGTCACAGAGAATGTTTCACATACCAAAACATTTTTCAAGTTGTAATGAGCATATTTGTCTGACATTTATAAGCATGTAGAATGTGAACGTCGAGGGAGTTATCCCCAAACGTATCTTGCAGTACACATGTATACAAGAACAATACTACACTCACCATGAACAAAATGTTGAATGCGTACATCAAATACTTGATGTTGTCAATCTTTCCTCCAAGACACATGGCTCCTTGCTTTGTAATCCAACCATAAACAAGGTGATCTATTGACCCGGGAACCTCAGGTGTGTTCCGGTCCCGGCGTTGTCGTTCTCCACACACCTACAAGTACTGAACGCGCAGGTATATCACGTCTCATTCAGGTTGCTTTCTATGCATCAGCGAGTACTAGCAATAGCTCGAACAAAATATATAACTTGCGTATGCTGTCTCTCTGTATCATGTATATTAAGTGTTGACATTATGTTTTTAAAACTTGTCTGTGTCATGTCAAATCGCAATACCAACAGGATTTGTCAGTTCTTACATATTGTGTACCTTTCAAAATTATAATGTTAATCTACAGGTAAATATTGCGTTAATTACACAGAGACAATGTTTAATTCCACGGGGTGATGTTAACAACATCTCGGGCTAGAGTAGAAATAGGTTAAGACTGTGGAGCTTGGTCCCGATGCAATAGCACTGGTCATGCTTCACTTAATTTTCACGATGCGGCCATTCATAGTATAGACTTTAAATGTAACTGTAGGATACAATAACCTTGTATATAGCGGGTTAACTATATAGCATTGCCGTATTACACGAGGACGCGCACTTAATGTTCAATGCGTTAATGCATTTGTTGTTCAAATGTGCACGCAGCAATATGCCAGCTAAATGGCGGCTCTCTCTCTCTGGCGGAAAAAATACCTATTAAAAAACTTATATGGCGCTATTTCCAGATTAAACTGTTCTGCAGCGCTTGAGACTGACGGAGAGTTAGTTGTATGCTTCACAGAAGTAGTGAGTCTTTAGCTGTGATTTGAATGACTCCAGGACGTGGTTAGATCTCAGATGTTGTGGGAGTTCATTCCCAAAGTTTGGTTCGGCAATTTGGAACAACGGCTGGCGATGTGATTGGGTTTAGTGCAGGTGACTGAACGAGAAACTGGTGAGAGGATCGAAGAGATCGGACAGGTTGATATCTGGTTATCATGCTGGAAAGGTACTGAGGAGCTTGATTGTGGAGACACTTGAAGACAAGCAGGACAATTTGTAATTGATCCGCTGTGGCACTGGCAACCATGGTAAATGTTTGAGAACTGGTGTAATGTGATCATGTCTCGCTGTTCTTGTTGCTGCGCGGGCTGCTGAGTTTTGAACAATTTGTAACTTCCTTATCAGATACGATGGCAAACCTTGCAAGAGTGAGTTACAGTAGTCATTGCGTGACAACACACAGGCATGGGCCAAGAGATGGCGGTCCTTTTGTTCATGTACTTTCGTACCAAGGCAATGTTGCGGATATGAAAATAAGATTACCTACAGACAGGACTTATGTGAGACTCAAGTGTCAGAACACCGAGATTTCGGGTCTGTTGGCTTGGGCTGATCTTATGGTTGCCGATGTGGAAATCTGGCAAAACAATGTCATGTTAGCTTTAGATAATGGGATGTCATCCATTCTTTTATCTCGTCAATGCATGTTTCCAGCACTATGAAGGTGACAAAAATGGATGATTTCACAGACAGTTTAAAGCTGAGTGTCGTCTGCGTGTAGATGGAACGAGAGTCCATGTGATCATGTGATGTCACCAAGTGCTGAAGTGGAGATGGTGAACAGTATGGGCCCCAACACTGAGCCTTGCGGCACACCATACAGCAAATCTGATGAGTCAGAGGAATGAACATCAGTGACAACACGTTGTCGCCTGCCAGTCATAAATGATTCAAAGCAACCCAGAACTCTCTCAACATTTCCATAATCATAAAAATTGACAAGTGATCGAACGTGTGTGCTGTACAACTGTATCATGAGACTGTATTTGGTAGATAATGTCACTCTAGGGTCTGTTTTGAAATGCCACTCAAATATTTACCATAAAACTTTATGAAAGATTTGAACCAACAACCACTTGTTTCTGGGGTATTATCAGTTACTAGCTCCTAAGATATCACGTGAGACACATCAGAAAAGTGTAATTATGTCCGCATTTTAGGACTTGCTTTTGTTAACATCAATTTGCACACACACACACACCAAAATCACACACACGCACATAAACACCTGCAAACACGCACACACACACTTAAACCACAAACACACACACCACAAACACCTGCAAACATGCACACACACACATGCACCACAAACACGCACACACACACCACAAACACGCACACACAGGCTTAAAGCACAAACACACACCACAAAGACCTGCAAACATGCACACACACATGCACCACAAACACGCACAAGCACATACACCACAAACACACATCACAAACACGCACACACACGCTTAAACCACAAACACACACGCACATGCCACAAACACCTGCAAACATGCATGCCCACACACACCACAAACATCTTCAAACACGCACACACACACACGCGCGCGAGCGCACGCACCACAAATACGCACACAAACACCTGCAAACACACAGACCATAAACGCCTGAAACACACACGCACGCACATGCACACGCCACAAACACCTGCAAACACGCACACACTCGTAGACAAACCCTGGCGAGATTCGAAATAGGCGACCTGGTAGTCATTTGATCAGTGGTTTTGCCACAGGTTTTGCATCGTTCATGAATCATTCACTGGCTGTTCCGCCCACTCGTAATTACACAGGCGCCATTACAGCGTAACCAGAACAACGCTGAACGCAGGGTTAACAACAAACAAACGGAACCCAATTGTAAGACTGCGATCTTGAAAGATCTACAAAAAATGTATGTCTATATCAATTATGTACACCTGAGCGAAAAGTGGGTCAAGTTGTACCTGATGTTGGAAGTATCGGTGAGTGCGTGAATGTTTTGAATAACTTTGCATTCCACAATGCTGTAAATATGAAACGATTGATTGTTGTTGCAAACGACTAAGTTCTAAAATGAAAAACAATGTAAACATCGTTACAATAAACACATTTTATTCAACGAAGGCACTGACACAGGGATACGATGAGATATGCAGGTGACCCATATGAAAGTATAAAAGCAGTAGCAGGCATCACTAAGCATACTTTCTATTCTTCCTAAAAACTGTTCAGGTTTGCTTATCTTCCCGATTTCTTATTTCATGTAATTCTTATAAACGAAATACATATACGGGTATATCTCAAAATTAATAACGTTAGTCCATTAAACATATAATTGAATGTTTAGAATTTGCTAAAAAGAAATTGCTAATGCTACGTGACGATTCATGAAAAAAGTATCCCTGTACCTGCATTTTTAAGCCATCTACTCTACTTTCATTTCGATAACAAAACACTGAGAAACAATAATGTTGTATGCTAAGCAGACAAGTAATTAATAGCATCTATAACTAGCAAACAATGAATGAATTCAAAACATGCTGAACATTCTAGAGCATCAGTTAACAAACATGTAATGTAGTTTATTTTAAAAACAAACGTATTATTTACGGGCGATTATCCTTTCGTTTTTTGTTCTTGTTTTGGGGAGGGGTTTTTTTTATTATTTTTTTTAGAAACTGTACATTATTATCCAATTACCACAAGCATGAACACTGATTAAAAGCCTTTACTCCCAGTTCATGTTGAAAGACAGTGCATGTATTTGATTCATGGTTAAAGATTGTTATTGGTATATGTTGCACCAATATTTTTTTATATTTAGGAAGTAAACTGCATTGTTTCGAAGCGATCGACCCCAAGACAACTGCAAATGTACAATGTACCTAATAGACATCGAGATTACCGCTGAAAGCCTCTCCAAATAAGCATCATTCTGCCATTTTGAAAATTACACGCGAACTCTTTGGTACCAACGTTGATATTTGGTTGAGTCAAATATTTGGAGTGGGCTTTCGATTTGAGTCGAGGAAACACCCATGATACCCTGTAAAAACTTATGGCGCTGCCTATGCTCAAAATTTGTTTCTTAACATTTTTTCTACTTTACGACTTTAATAGGCATTGAGGTGTGTAGCACCACTACTTCGTGAGACAACAATAAGCAGGCATTTTTAAAGAAAATGAAGCAAGACACTGAAAGTTTAGTTTTACAACGCACGTCACTATTACGACGTCACAGCGCTCTTTGTGACGTAAACGTCGTGACATCACAGTCTGGTTCAGAAAAGAGCACATCTCTCTTGGTTGTTGCTAAAAGTTGAAATACATTTACAATGGATTTCTATCCTGTTTTAAATGTATTCTCAGTCATACATTGACTATTGCTCAACGCCACTTTTCACGCTTTCTCTGCTCATATAATTAAATACATATGTCTACCATCAGCGACGAGGAAAAAGATAATTTTGTATGAGATTGCAGTCGTTTCAATCAGAGTTTCATTATTGAGATTTGATACCCCAGTTTCACCAGTCAAAATCGAGAGGAGTTTCCAACCAATTCCTCGATAAAAAGCAAACACTAACGACAACACCTCCTAGGAATCCTCTCCCTGTTGGCGATACAGGTCAGCTTTACCGACGTTCTTCTTTCATGTACCAAGGCAAATCACTATACCTAGGTAAATAGTAAAAATAGGTTTCGAAATTCATTGAATTGTTTACAAAAAAATATACAGAATCTTTAAGTATTCCTCAACAATTATTGCAAATGTTTTGTACTCTTCCTCGTTCACTCTTGTAGAAATACTGCTTATTGCGCTATTCCTTGTTTTTCTAAAAGAGGGTTAAACTATCTCTAAGTCCAATGCCAGGATTCATAACTTTGCTGCCTATGTCTGCCTCTTGCTGTGTGCCTCTCAGCTACTCTTCCTGATAGCACAGCAGAAGCACATTGACAAAACCATTCCTAGAATCTGTAACATGAAAGGAAAACGAAAAATTGGTGCCATGGAAGTACTTAAATACATACATGCAATATCATTCAAATATGAATAAGAGCGGTGGGGTAGCCTTGTAGTTAAAACGTCCGCTCGTCACGTCTAAGATCCGGGTTCGATTCCCCATATGGGTACAACGTGTGAAACCCATTGCTGATGTCCCCCGCCGTGATATTGCTGTAACATTGCTAAAGGCGGCGTAAAACCATGTATTAATATATCGACATTTACAGCCAATTGTGATATGATTACTTGATTGATATAATTGACATAACTGCTCAACACGAACCACATAATGTCTATAAAGTCAACGTAAAAAAATGCCTGTGGATTATTTTCTGAATCAGATTCCACTAAACGACAATGTAGTCGCCAGCATGTGTATGGCAGCTGGTGAACATTAACGACTTGTGAACTGATGAGGTAATTCTCAGGACAAAAATACACGGGTATGTATTGGTTCGCTGGTTTTCGAATGTTAAAGGCACTTCGTACACACTAATGCATTATTGAACCAGTGCAGAAATGAGGTTATTGAAGTTACCGTAAAGGTCTCCATCAAGGCCATCTGTTTCAAGCCTATGAGCCATATTCTACCTTCCACCCAACACATCACGTCATGCAAATGCCCTTAGTGAACCAAGACTTGATTGTCTTCATTATAACCACAGAAATATGACGGCGGTCTGTTAATAATCGAGTCTGCACCACACAATCCAGTGATCAACAGCATGAGAATCGATCTACGCAATTGGGATACGATGACGGGTCAACCAACTCTGCGAGCCTGACCACTCGATCCCGTTAGTCGCCTCTTACGACAAGCATGGGTTACTGAAGATCAATTCTAAACCGGATCTTCACGGGTCACAGGAAAGTGAAATATATAGGAGTTAAAAATAAATGGCTTAATGTCGAACAACTAAAGTGTTGGCGCAATGGATACACCATGTCCTCGCTCACCATGATGAAAGCAGCACCAAAGGAAATCCCGGCAGTCACCTTGAGGTTAGGCGACAGGGTTTTGAAAAACGCGTCCGCACAAGGCTGTGAATTAGAAATGGTCAGTTCGAAGATATATCCATTTGTTCTGTGAAAAAGCAAATGATTTTGTATACTTTGAACACATTTATGGAAATGTTTTACGTGACAAATAATTGTGCATAGGCCCAGGAGTTTCTATAATCAGAGCCCATTGCTTAACATATGCAGTGGGTTATGAATTTCCGTCAATGTTGATGTGCTAAGGTACATTAACATATTGAAGATTTTCAATCCGTAGTGTTTTATAAGTTAAGAACACCATTTAACAACGTGAAGACTTCAAGCATATCGTGGTTTTGCTTTTCTGTAGTCATATCAATGGTTATGAATCATTCCTGAAAATACATACCGTCACATAATTCGCTAGTTTGCACTGACTGTCGAGGTTCACGATGCTCAGTACATAATCAGAAACGCCGGTTTTAGCTCCACAGCAATTAAACTGAAACATGAGGTATCATCATCATCATCATCATCATCATCATCATCATCATCATCATCATCATCATCATAACCATCATCATCATCTTCTTCTTCTTCACCATTATCATCACCTGTGCCATTGTTATTACCGTTACCATACATATACCTCTTTATCATCAAAATAATCATCATCATCATCTTTAACAACAACTGTGTCATTATTATCATCATTTTATCTTTATCACCATTATAATAGCTATTTCATCATTATTATTGATGTTGTCTCCTTGGCAATGAACATACGTTCTTACACACATACTAAGCTCCTGTCCCCTTCATATAATTGTGAAATCATCTGAGATCAAATGCGTTACCGTATTCTGGAAATTGTTCATGTACGTCCTCGACTCTTCACTATTGTCCTTCACCCTGGTCATCAGGTAATCACCGAAAGATTCTTTCACCTACAATCAACAGTAGGAGTATGAAATTAAATATTTCTTTTTGCTGATAACATTGTATCAGTTGCAGACTGTGTTGTTGATCTGCAGGGAAAGTTGAATGCTTTATAATTATTTTCAATAAATGGGGATTAGTTGTAAATATGGAAAAGTCTAACATCTCGTGTTTCGTAATGGCAAAAAGCTTAAAACGGCCTGGGTGCTAACAGTATTGACCGTGTGAGACACTAGACTTGGTGCTAACAGTATTGACCGTGGGAGACACTAGACTGGGTGTTGGCAGTATTGACCGTGTGAGACACTAGGCTGGGTGTTGGCAGTATTGACCTTATGAGACACTAGGCTGGGTGTTGGCAGTATTGGCCGTGGGGGACACTAGACTGGGTGTTGGCAGTATTGACCGTGGGAGACACTAGACTGGGTGCTAACAGTATTGACCTTATGAGACACTAGGCTGGGTGTTGGCAGTATTGGCCGTGGGGGACACTAGACTGGGTGTTGGCAGTATTAACCGTGGGAGACACTAGACTGGGTGCTAACAGTATTGACCTTATGAGACACTAGGCTGGGTGTTGGCAGTATTAACCGTGGGAGACACTAGACTGGGTGCTAACAGTATTGACCTTATGAGACACTAGGCTGGGTGTTGGCAGTATTGACCGTGGGAGACACTAGACTGGGTGTTGGCAGTATTAACCATGCGAGACACTAGACTGGGTGCAAACAGTATTGACCTTATGAGACACTAGGCTGGGTGTTGGCAGTATTGACCGTGGGAGACACTAGGCTGGGTGTTGACAGTATTTACCATGTGAGACACTAGGCTGGGTGTTGGCAGTATTGGCCGTGGGGGACACTAGACTGGGTGTTGGCAGTATTGACCGTGGGAGACACTAGACTGGGTGTTGGCAGTATTAACCGTGGGAGACACTAGACTGGGTGTTGGCAGTATTGACCGTGGGAGACACTAGACTAGGTGCTACCAGTATTAACCGTGGGAGACACTAGACTGGGTGCTAACAGTATTGGCCGTGGGGGACACTAGACTGGGTGTTGGCAGTATCAACCGTGGGAGACACTAGACTGGGTGTTGGCAGTATTGACCGTGGGGGACACTAGACTGGGTGTTGGGAGTATTAACCGTGGGGGACACTAGACTGGGTGTTGGCAGTATTAACCGTGGGAGACACTAGACTGGGGGTTGGCAGTATTAACCGCGGCAGACACTAGACTGGGTGTTGGCACTATTGGCCGTGGGAGACACCAGACTGGGTGTTGGCAGTATTAACCGTGGGAGACACTAGACTGGGGGTTGGCAGTATTAACCGCGGCAGACACTAGACTGGGTGTTGGCACTATTGGCCGTGGGAGACACTAGACTGGGTTTTGGCAGTATTGGCCGAGGGAGACACTAGACTGGGTGCTAACAGTATTAACCGTGGGAGACACTAGACTGGGTGTTGGCAGTATTGGCCTGGGGGACACTAGACTGGGTGTTGGCAGTATTAACCGTGGGAGACACTAGACTGGGTGCTAACAGTATTGACCTTATGAGACACTAGGCTGGGTGTTGGCAGTAATAACCGTGGGAGACACTAGACTGGGTGCTAACAGTATTGACCTTATGAGACACTAGGCTGGGTGTTGGCAGTATTGACCGTGGAAGACACTAGGCTGGGTGTTGGCAGTATTAACCGTGGGAGACACTAGACTGGGTGCTAACAGTATTGACAGTGGGAGACACTAGGCTGGGTGTTGGCAGTATTGACCGTGGGACACACTAGACTGGGTGTTGGCAGTATTGACCGTGGGAGACACTAGACTGGGTGCTAACAGTATTGACCTTATGAGACACTAGACTGGGTGCTAACAGTATTGACCGAGGGAGACACTAGACTGGGTGCTAACAGTATTGGCCGTGTGAGACACTAGACTGGGTGCTAACAGTATTGACCGTGGGAGACACTAGACTGGGTGTTGGCAGTATTGACCGTGGGAGACACTAGACTGGGTGCTAACAGTATTGACCGTGTGAGACACTAGACTGGGTGCTAACAGTATTGACCGAGGGAGACACTAGACTGGGTGTTGGTAGTATTGACCGGGGGAGACACTAGACTGGGTGCTAACAGTATTGACCGTGTGAGACACTAGACTGGGTGCTAACAGTATTGACCGTGGGAGACACTAGACTGGGTGTTAGCAGTATTAACCGTGTGAGACACTAGACTTGGTGCTAACAGTATTGACCGTGGGAGACACTAGACTGGGTGCTAACAGTATTGACCGTGGGAGACACTAGACTGGGTGCTAACAGTATTGACCGTGTGAGACACTAGACTGGGTGCTAACAGTATTGACCATGGGAGACACTAGACTGGGTGTTGACAGTATTGACAAAGGGAGACACTAGACTGTGTGTTGGCAGTATTGACCGTGGGAGACACTAGGCTGGGTGTTGGCAGTATTGACCGAGGGAGACACTAGACTGGGTGTTGGCAGTATTGACCTTATGAGACACTAGGCTGGGTGTTGGCAGTATTGACCGAGGGAGACACTAGACTGGGTGTTGGCAGTATTGAACGAGGGAGAAACTAGACTGGATGTTGGCAGTATTGACCGAGGGAGACACTAGACTGGGTGTTGGCAGTATTGGCCGTGGGGGACACTAGACTGGGTGTTGGCAGTATTAACCGTGGGAGACACTAGACTGGGTGCTAACAGTATTGACCTTATGAGACACTAGGCTGGGTGTTGGCAGTATTGGCCGTGGGGGACACTAGACTGGGTGTTGGCAGTATTAACCGTGGGAGACACTAGACTGGATGCTAACAGTATTGACCTTATGAGACACTAGGCTGGGTGTTGGCAGTATTAACCGTGGGATACACTAGACTGGGTGCTCACAGTATTGACCTTATGAGACACTAGGCTGGGTGTTGGCAGTAATAACCGTGGGAGACACTAGACTGGGTGCTAACAGTATTGACCGAGGGAGACACTAGACTGGGTGTTGGCAGTATTGACCGTGGAAGACACTAGACTGGGTGTTGGCAGTATTGACCGTGGGAGACACTAGACTGGGTGCTAACAGTTTGACCTTATGAGACACTAGACTGGGTGCTAACAGTATTGACCGAGGGAGACACTAGACTGGGTGCTAACAGTATTGACCGTGTGAGACACTAGACTGGGTGCTAACAGTATTGACCATGGGAGACACTAGACTGGGTGTTGACAGTATTGACAAAGGGAGACACTAGACTGTGTGTTGGCAGTATTGACCTTATGAGACACTAGGCTGGGTGTTGGCAGTATTGACCGAGGGAGACACTAGACTGGGTGTTGGCAGTATTGACCTTATGAGACACTAGGCTGGGTGTTGGCAGTATTGACCGAGGGAGACACTAGACTGGGTGTTGGCAGTATTGAACGAGGGAGAAACTAGACTGGATGTTGGCAGTATTGACCGAGGGAGACACTAGACTGGGTGTTGGCAGTATTGACCATGGGAGACACTAGACTGGGTCTTGGCAGTATTGACCTTATGAGACACTAGGCTGGGTGTTGGCAGTATTGACCTTATGAGACACTAGACTGGGTTTTGGCAGTATTGACCTTATGAGACACTAGACTTGGTGCTAACAGTATTGACCTTATGAGACACTAAACTGGGTGTTGGCAGTATTGACCGATGGAGACACTAGACTGTGTGCTAACAGTATTGACCGTGTAAGACACTAGACTGGGTGCTATCAGTATTGACCTTATGAGACACTAGGCTGGGTGTTGGCAGTATTAACCGTGTGAGACACTAGACTGGGTGCTAGCAGTATTGACCTTATGAGACACTAGGCTGGGTGTTGGCAGTATTGGCCGTGGGGGACACTAGACTGGGTGTTGGCAGTATTAACCGTGGGAGACACTAGACTGGGTGCTAACAGTATTGACCGTGTGAGACACTAGACTGGGTGCTAACAGTATTGACCGTGGGAGACACTAGACTGGGTGTTGGCAGTACTGACCGTGGGAGACACTAAGCTGGGTGTTGGCAGTATTGGCCGTGGGGGACAATCGACTGGGTGCTAGGAGTATTGACCTTATGAGACACTAGACTGGGTGTTGGCAGTATTGGCCGTGGGGGACACTAGAGTGGGTGTTGGCAGTATTAACCGTGGGAGACACTAGACTGGGTGCTAACAGTATTGACCGTGTGAGACACTAGACTGGGTGCTAACAGTATTGACCTTATGAGACACTAGGCTGGGTGTTGGCAGTATTGGCCGTTGGAGACACTAGACTGGGTGTTGGCAGTATTAACTGTGTGAGACACTAGACTAGGTGCTTAAAGTATTGACTGTGTGAGACACTAGACTGGGTGCTAACAGTATTGACTGTGTGAGACACTAGACTGGGTGTTGACAGTATTGACCGTGGGAGACACTAGACTGGCTGCTAACAGTATTGACAGTGGGAGACACTAGACTGGGTGCTAACAGTATTGACCGAGGGAGACACTAGACTGGGTGTTGGCAGTATTGACCGTGGGAGACACTAGACTGGGTGCTAACAGTATTGACCGTGTGAGACACTAGACTGGGTGCTAACAGTATTGACCGAGGGAGACACTAGACTGGGTGCTAACAGTATTGACCGAGGGAGACACTAGACTGTGTGTTGGCAGTATTGACCATGGGAGACACTAGGCTGGGTGTTGGCAGTACTGACCGATGGAGACACTAGGCTGGGTGTTGGCAGTATTGGCCGTTGGGGACACTAGACTGGGTGCTAACAGTATTGACCGTGTGAGACACTAGACTGGGTGCTAACAGTATTGACCGTGGGAGACACTAGACTGGGTGTTGGCAGTACTGACCGTGGGAGACACTAGGCTGGGTGTTGGCAGTATTGGCCGTGGGGGACACTAGACTGGGTGCTTACAGTATTGACCTTATGAGACACTAGGCTGGGTGTTGGCAGTATTGACCGTGGGGGACACTAGAGTGGGTGTTGGCAGTATTAACCGTGGGAGACACTAGACTGGGTGCTAACAGTATTGACCGTGTGAGACACTAGACTGGGTGCTAACAGTATTGACCTTATGAGACACTAGGCTGGGTGTTGGCAGTATTGGCCGTTGGAGACACTAGACTGGGTGTTGGCAGTATTAACTGTGTGAGACACTAGACTAGGTGCTTAAAGTATTGACTGTGTGAGACACTAGACTGGGTGCTAACAGTATTGGCTGTGTGAGACACTAGGCTGGGTGTTGACAGTATTGACCGTGGGAGACACTAGACTGGCTGCTAACAGTATTGACAGTGGGAGACACTAGACTGGGTGCTAACAGTATTGACCGAGGGAGACACTAGACTGGGTGTTGGCAGTATTGACCGTGGGAGACACTAGACTGGGTGCTAACAGTATTGACCGTGTGAGACACTAGACTGGGTGCTAACAGTATTGACCGAGGGAGACACTAGACTGGGTGCTAACAGTATTGACCTTATGAGACACTAGACTGTGTGTTGGCAGTATTGACCGTGTGAGACACTAGGCTGGGTGTTGGCAGTATTGACCGAGGGAGACACTAGACTGGGTGTTGGCAGTATTGACCTTATGAGACACTAGGCTGGGTGTTGGCAGTATTGACCGAGGGAGACACTAGACTGGGTGTTGGCAGTATTGAACGAGGGAGACACTAGACTGGATGTTGGCAGTATTGACCGAGGGAGACACTAGACTGGGTGTTGGCAGTATTGACCGTGGGAGACACTAGACTGGGTCTTGGCAGTATTGACCTTATGAGACACTAGGCTGGGTGTTGGCATTATTGACCTTATGAGACACTAGACTGGGTGTTGGCAGTGTTGACGTTATGAGACACTAGACTTGGTGCTAACAGTATTGACCTTATGAGACACTAGACTGGGTGTTGGCAGTATTGACCGAGGGAGACACTAGACTGTGTGCTAACAGTATTGACCGTGTAAGACACTAGACTGGGTGCTAACAGTATTGACCTTATGAGACACTAGGCTGGGTGTTGGCAGTATTGGCCGTGAGGGACACTAGACTGGGTGTTGGCAGTATTAACCGTGGGAGACACTAGACCGGGTGCTAACAGTATTGACCGTGTGAGACACTAGACTGGGTGCTAACAGTATTGACCATGGGAGACACTAGACTGGGTGTTGGCAGTACTGACCGTGGGAGACACTAGACTGGGTGTTGGCAGTATTGGCCGTGGGGGACACTAGACTGGGTGCTAACAGTATTGACCTTATGAGACACTAGGCTGGGTGTTGGCAGTATTGGCCGTGGGGGACACTAGACTGGGTGTTGGCAGTATTAACCGTGGGAGACACTTGACTGGGTGCTAACAGTATTGACCGTGTGAGACACTAGACTGGGTGCTAACAGTATTGACCGTGGGAGACACTAGACTGGGTGCTAACAGTATTGACCATGAGAGACACTAGACTGGGTGTTGACAGTATTGACCGTGGGAGACACTAGACTTGGTGTTGGCAGTATTGACCGTGGGAGACACTAGGCTGGGTGTTGGCAGTATTGGCCGTGGGAGACACTAGGCTGGGTGTTGGCAGTATTAACCGTGGGAGACACTAGACTGGGTGCTAACAGTATTGACCGTGGGAGACGCTAGACTGGGTGCTAACAGTATTGACCGTGGGAGACACTAGACTGGGTGTTAGCAGTATTAACCGTGTGAGACACTAGACTTGGTGCTAACAGTAATGACCGTGGGAGACACTAGACTGGGTGTTGGCAGTACTGACCGTGGGAGACACTAGACTGGGTGCTAACAGTATTGACCTTATGAGACACTAGAATGGGTGTTGACAGTATTGACCGTGTGAGACACTAGACTTGGTGCTAACAGTATTGACCGTGGGAGACACTAGACTGCGTGCTAACAGTATTGACCGTGGGAGACACTAGACTGGTTGTTGACAGTACTGACTGTGTGAGACAATAGTCTGAGTGTTCACAGTATTAACTGTGTCAGACACTATACTTGTTGTTGACAGTATTGAGAGTGTGAAACACTAGACTGGGTGCTATGTGAGACAATAGACTGGGTGTAGACAGTATTAACCGTGTGAGACACTAGACTGGGTGTTGACAGAATTAACTGTGTGAGACGCTAGACTGGGTGTTGACAGTATTAACTGTGTCAGACACTAGACTGGGTGTTGACAGTATTATCTGTGTGAGTCACTAGACTGGGTGCTGTGTGAGACACTAAAGTGGGTGTTGACAGAATTAACTGTGTGAGACACTAGACTGGGTGTTGACAGTATTAACTGTGTGAGTCACTAGACTGGGTGTTGACAGTATTATCCGTGTGAGACACTAGACTGGGTGTTGACAGTATTAACTGTGTGAGTCACTAGACTGGGTGCTGTGTGAGACACTAAAGTGGGTGTTGACAGTATTGACCGTGGGAGACACTAGACTGGGTGTTGACAGTATTGTGAGATTAGATACTGTACATACATGTACTTACACATGGACATGTAGTTACTTTCTCACTACCTCTCTCAATCTAACCCGCTCTCTCTATTTCGCCCTCTTTTTCGCTCTCGCTCTCTCTCTCTCTCTCTCTCTCTCTCTCTCTCTCTCTCTCTCTCTCTCTCTCTCTCTCTCTCTCTCTCTCTCTCTCTCTCTCTCTCTCTCTCTCTCAATATATCGATCTATCTTACTCTCTCTCTTTCTTTCTTTAGTGCTAATTCTTACAAGGTTACTCACCACATCCATCTGCGTCAAGACGACCACTCCTATTGCTAACAGAATGGTTGTGATGATAAACAGACCTATGAAGAACTGAAATGATAAAAAGATATCACCCTCATCATCAACATCCAAACATCAGGTTTCCATCGGTCCTGCTTTTAGGCTGAGTTAAAGGCCTTAAACGTGCCTCTTTCACAATCACCTTACAACAAAAGATAGTACCCAAACAATCCTCTAAAGAGTTCAATAGCCATGATTGTTTCTTCAGGAAGGGACAGCCAGGTGTTCGAGAAGCACGTGCACAAGTGCCGACAAAGTTATTTGATTCATTAACCTGTGCTGTGCCGTCTCCATCCTTTCTCGCACACCTGGCTGTCCCTTTCTTTGTACTCCTCCTTCGTAACAAATAGTGAACTGTGTCAAAATTGTAATTATAGTCTGTTGTTTTTTTATTTTTAGGACATAAATTCTGCAAATAAATCACAGCGTTGGTCTGATGTTTTGATTATGATCAGCGTTTCATTGAGTATTATGTGTTTATTATTTTTCAAATTAGGTTGCAATTCATCGTTCCGTTTTTGAGCCGAACGGACTATAGTCGAGGTTTTATAGTTTTCTGTTGAAGCGTTGAAATTACACGAGTGACCTTTTACATTTAGGGCGTGTGTTTGTTTGTTGTTTAACGCCACACTCGGCAATATTCCTGACGGCGATCTGTAAATAATTGAGATTGGACCAGGCAATCCAGTGACTGACATCATGAGCATCGATCTACACATCCAGATACGATGACATGCCTCTACCATGTCAGAGAGCCTGAATTTCTTTGTGTCATCAGTTACCGAAAACCAATTCTACCCTAGATTCCAAAGGGATGTACCATAGACAGAGATCATATGTTAGCATATGTTTAAAGCAACATTCAGCATTTTGTTGACATTGTCTGTAAATAATTGAGTCAGGACCTGATGATTTTGTTGTCATTGTCTGTAAATAATTGAGTCAGGACCTGATGAGTTTGTGATTTTTTAGTGTGAGAAGTCTACTATGTGTACTATGACACACAGTCAGCAAGGTGTCACATTTCAGTGGCTGAGTGGGTCAGATCGCAGACTTTGTGCTGGCGATTAGCTGCCTGAATGGGGCTAAACCAAAAACGTTCAAGAATCTGTATTTCACATAACATGTCTTACATTTGACCACTTTCTAAGTGGCATTGTCGATTCATATCTTTTGGTCATAGGAACCATGCCAATTTATGCTTGTCAGAGGGTACACAAAAGTACGTGATGAAGACAACCGTGGTTTATTAAAGCCGTGGTACGGTGGCTGAGTGGTTTGGATCGTTCAGTGTGTGGGTTCGAATCCCAGATAGGCTTCAACCCTAAAGAATAATAGAATCTTTACTTAAAAGTGTAATCTCAAATATAATTTGTGTTAAAAGTGACCCATTTTGACCCGAAATCCTGTAATTCGCCTCACATAGCATAGGTTGGGAACAGGACTTACTACGTAATCTAAACAAGAGGTGATTTACCAATATGTAACTGATAACTGACCACGACCAGGAGGCACTGGCTCCTTCTGATTGTTCCACAGATTCCAATAATGGCCAACAGGATGATGACAGCCCCAACACCGATGAAGACGTAGGAACCAGCATGCAAGGCGTTGAAGTTGTCGGAGTCGTCGATATATTCGTAAAGACGTAGCCATATTCCCAAGCCTGTCAGACCCAGGCCAATCGGCTGCAAGGATACAACGCATGACTTGTAAAACAAACACTCAATAATACAATCAACTGATACAATATCCATTTATGCAATATCTCAAACTTGTACAAGTAAGATTTGGCTTAAAAGTAATGTTAAGTCCATATTATGTAACCAATTTCATCAACGCTGGAACGAATGTATATCAAAATCTTTAAAGGCCGCAATTATAATATGTTTAAGTTATGTCCATACCCTGAAAGCTATTTATTACACTTCCCATTAAATGCACGCATATGGCTTACCCATAACCATAAACTCCCAATAGAAACAGGTAGATGGTATAATGTTATTAAAGAAGAAAGATAATGTACATTGTGTAAAAATACAACAGGAGATGACTTTCACTTCATGTTATATTGCCCATGTTTAAGAAATGTAAATAATGCATTCCTACCAAACTGTTATTGTAATTAACCATCATTAGATAAATTTCTATCCCTAATGTCTTGTACGCTTAAAGCACTACTATGTGAAAACTGGTCTACTTATGTTCCCACAAACAAATCTGTACATTTCTATTTTCTCTATGTCACTATTGTGATCTTCGTGAAAATAAACCATTCATTCTGAGAGACAAGAATAGCTGCAACGTTGAAAGATCCATGCAACTGAAAACTCATGTCAGTTGGCTTACATGTTGTTTAACGCTGTACTTCAGTACTCCGACGGTCTGTAAATGATCTAGTGTGGACCAGACAAACCTATGATTGATAGTATGAACACTCATTCATGTCGTTGGGTTACAATGACCTTCAATCAACAGAGTAACCAACAGCGTAGCCAACATTAACAAACCAACATTTACAGTAGCCTGTTAGTATGGCTGTTCAGAGTCCAATCTAACCTGGATTTCCCGACGTTACTTTTAATTTATTGAAAATATCCAAAACACGATGTTTACACAAAACATTTTCAATTAACAATAAAAGCGACGAAAGTTTTCTATAAGCAAAGGTAATCTCTGTTCATTACCCATTGTCCGTCCAGATGTTCCAAATGTAGGTATGTGTTTATAATCAATATCAATTAGCGAAGACACCGGGTGGTTTGTTTTCGATCATAACGGTATATCCGGCCGAATCAGTGGCTCTCGTGACAAGCACATGTAAATGCAAGCATATAGGATCATAAGACGTATATCCGGCCGAATCAGTGGCTCCCGTGACAAGCACATGTAAATGCAAGTAAATAGGATCATAACAATATATCCCGCCGAATCAGTGGCTCCCGTCACAAGCACATGTAAATGCAAGTAAATAGGATCATAACAGTATATCCCAACGAATCAGTGGCTCCCGTCACAAGCACTTGTAAATGCAAGTAAATAGGATCATAACAGTATATCCCGCAGAATCAGTGGCTCCCGTGACAAGCACATGTAAATGCAAGTAAATAGGATCATAACAGTATATCCCGCCGAATCAGTGGCTCCCGTCACAAGCACATGTAAATGCAAGTAAATAGGATCATAACAGTATATCCCGCCGAATCAGTGGCTCCCGTCACAAGCACATGTAAATGCAAGTAAAAGTAAAAAGGATCATATGGTACCGGTCTGAAACCAGCATCAAGCCGGGTTGTGCATCCGACATAATGTTGGTAACTGGTACGTCAATTTTTAATATGTCCTCCATGTTTGTACCATAAAATTGTCTACGTTCTTTTCATTGCACATTCCATTTTTTGTTTGAACGGATAATCTATAACATTGTGATCATTGAAAATGTTTTGTCGCTTGAAGATAAAATGACCTTATCACGCATAGACCAGAAGGGTCACGACGTCTCGAAGTATATTCTTACTTCTTCATTCACCTGATTCACCTGATGACGGAGTAAGATTATACTTCGAAACGTCGTGACCCTTCACAATAAAGAAGTTGTCATCCATAAAACTCTTGTCTTCATGTGTATCACACTTCTAAATGCACTTCAAAGACTTCAAAGACACGGGTAGTCGAATACTGTAAGTGCCAACAGAAACCCATTATCCCGAGTTCGAATGTTACATTCACCCCGATTATTCATTTAGTTTCACCTGTGCTCGTAGAGTTTCAATAAGAATAAATGAATGAATGTTGCTTTACGCCGCAACAGCAGACATTGGCGGCGAAGGTTTCAATAAGACAGGTTAACATCCAAAACATTAGGGGTCATCTCAAAGGCCAAGCTGACACATTCTGTGACTGATGGTACTGATCGGCATTAAGCCGAACCGACTAGATCCACATTTAAGGATTATTATACTTCATCAAAATAAAAGGATGATGTTCAAGTGACTATCCTGTTGTTACCATGCGCGTCCAGCTCCGATTTCTCGAAACAAACTTAAGTTTTTACTCAAATTGAAAATTTGTTTGACAATTTGAAACAGCTGAATGTTTAACTCAGCTGCATGTTTAAAATAATAAAGCCCCAACAACGTAAGTATTCTAGTCACCAAACTCAAACTGTCTACTACGTTTGAGTTTAATATCGATTTCAGTACATTCTGGGAAATGCGTTTTCTCAAATTTGAGTAAAAATTCGAACTTAAGTCAAAACTCAGACTTAACTTTGTTTCGAGAAATCGGGGCCTGACTGATTATATAAAGAAGAGGGTATTTATGGATGTCAACTTCTTTATTATGAAGAACACAACGTTTAGGAGTATATCCTTACTCCTTCATCAGGTGAATGAATGGTATAAGGCAGAGAACATATTACGTACATGCAGAGTACATTATGTTCCTCATAATAAAGAAGTTGACATCCATTAAAAAATCTCTTCATTATTTGTACTACTTCTACATGCCATTCAAAGACCTGACTATATAAGATCGTCATGAAATATTCATGCTTAATTACTAACGCTATTTAATACAGAGGAAATGACCTGACATTGACTTGACATTGAATAGGACCCATTGTTAACAGCAACACTACACAGAATACAACGCCCACCTGTTAACGCGAGGGAGTGCTTTGTCAAATACATTCCGTCCTGGGCTTAACCCGCGCCTTGTCATTGTGTGGATACTCGTCATGCAGTATTGCTGAACATGCACGGGGACTGCGTGGAACATTATCAGTCGAGGCAGATGTCGCGGGGGAGTTGTCGGACAGGACACGCTCACTTGTCTCAGGAACGTGCATTCACAATGCGCTGTATGTGTCACCTCTTCGCTATTTGTTTTCGACATACTCATTTGGGTCTGGCGTTTGAATCACCTCGGTCCTTGGTGTTTACTGTATTACTCATGTATGAGCTGTGCGGAAGAAGCGTATTTAGATGTATATTTATAAATTTCGTTGTCGTCGTCGTCATCATCATCATCATTATCATCATCATCAGCAGCAGCATTATTATCTGTAGCAGCAGCAGTAGTAGTAGAAGCAGTAGCAATAGCAGTAGTAGTAGTAGTAGTAGTAGTTGTTGTTGTTGTTGGTGGTGGTGGTGGTGATGATGTTGCTGCTATTGTTATGTTGTAGTTGCATTAACCTTTTTAAACGGGACACATGACCATAGGTCATTTTGCAGTCCAACATGTTTATTAGAGTCATTTAACCTCCCTTTGTTTGTATGCATAAAAAATTAGCGGTTGGTGTGTCCCATATATTTCCCAATTAAAAGATTATCTCACAGATGTTGCTGTTCTTGCCATGGCAAAAGCCCCATTACATTTGTGACGCCGACTTGTGTTGTTCTCTCCCGCTCACACACCCTCTCCCCAACTCCCAAACTCTCCAAATGCAACACCCTAACCCACTCACCCTGGTTTGATTTCCGACATGCCCCCCGTCTGAACCCACAGGGATACAGTTAACAGCTGATCCCCAACTATATCTCTCATAAACACGTTTCATGACTGTAGGGCAGGAGACGCTCACCTTCTCGTGAACACCTGGTCACATCGTAGTGTCATAACGATGCACACAGATACAGGCCTGTATAGTCGGAATTGCACAATCAATTCTGTGTTTAGAATATACTCCATATATTTAATAACAGTCAGGGCTAGTAATAGATATAATGATAGTCCGAGATCAAGTCCAACAAAAGCCTCTGCAAAGCTTTATTTCACAAATAAAGCTTTTGTCAGGCCCTTAGATCTCGCCCCCAGTATATCTACTACTTTTGAGCCCCCAGTTAACTTCCCGACCACACGTGGCACTACTGTGCTGCACTGTACCACAATGACGTGTTGACAGGGGGTAACATTGTACCATACGGTATGATCAATAATTCCTCTCTAACGAACCCTCTACCTGGCCCATCTCTCAAGTAGTACAAGTTCGGCTCGTCAACTTTGATGTCCACTTTATCTATGTTGTAAGTTTTGACTGACCATATCGGATCGGTAGAGGCACCTCACGAGGGCCCTATCTGGTATCTGTTTCTCCTTCCCACGCAACGGTGCAGCAGACTCAGCCACTATTGATTTTAGTTTGATAGCGTCGGCTGGCTTCTTGCCGGTGAGACGGGTGATTTCATGGTTGATGGCCGACACCACCTGGGGCAACCGCGCTACCCATTCAGTCGATCGTTTCCCCGGGTTGGCCATCTCTCTCGCATACTGATGCCCGAATAAGCGCTCAGCCAAAGTCCTATTGAATCTCTCAACAATGGCTTGGCTGCGATGGGCTCCGGCCGTGCCACGCCTGACCTTGGTATCGTGTTTGTCCAGCAGGTGTGACACGGCACCCATGAACTCCCGCCCGGGTCAACTTGCAGCTCTGTCAGCCACGTCAGCGGGCTGCGCTTGTATACACGTTCGAATCCGCGGGCTACCTGGACCGAGTCTTTCGTGGTTAAGGGTTTGTAGCGACTGGCCACGTCCACGACGGATAAGGCATACTTGTATCTCTTATCGTGGGGTAGGAACAGGAGGTCGGCCTGGTGAACGCTATTGGGTATGTTAATACCGAACTTCCTTCTAGGCACGTAGCGTGGTGCCGGTAAATAGATCTGCCACAGGGCTTGTTTTTCAAGCC